CGGATCTCAAAGGTACCACCACCTTCGTCCTCCATAGAGTAATCTTCCGTCATGTCCCGCAGCTCAAATGTTTCGGCTTCTGCAAAGTCACGAACAGTGATGATGCCGTGTTCGTTGAGCTTTTCAATCGTTGCCTTTCCAACGTAAGGAATCATTCCTTTTACGAGGTTGTCCGACATGTAGAGTTTCCCCACTTCCCGTGTCGTAGTCAACCAACCTTGCGTCTTTGCTGGCCCATCCCGCATCTTCTTGATCCTGACAATCTCAATTTTGACAAGCTCGCGGTATTTCTTCAAGGAGATGATGTTCCTGCTAGTGTAATCAAACGGATCCAACACCCATCCCTCCTTGCGTTCGACAACACCATCAGCGTTGCGGTAAGAGACCATGGCACAGCCAAGTCCAAGGCGGACCTCATCCTCGTACTTGACGTTCAAGCAGTAAGCAGGAACAGCATGATTGTAGCTTCCGTTGGGATCTGGTTGCCCCTCGTCGTTTCTTGCAAACTGGACAACAGTTTTCCGACCAGCCTGCGCATGAACCGACCCAATCTTGCACTTGCGGTGCATCTCATCCCAGACGGCACAATCATCGACTTGAAAATCCCATCCTGCGGCTTTGAGTTTCTCAATATCAAAGCAGGGCGGAAGTGGAAACTCATAGCCAGAACCGGACGCACGAGAGGAATCGTCAGGCTGTTGTTCCGAACTGGAACTCGCACTGCCTTCGTCGTTCGCACTGACTTCATCAGGAGGGGGAGTCGGAGGCTGTTGACTGGAAATCGAGCTGGAAGAATCAGCCTTGTAAGAGGAACCAGACGATTCATCACTGATCCAGCCGTCCAAGCCCAACACAACTTGTCGCTGAGGTAGTTCCTCCGGAGGATCCGTCAGCGCAGCCTCACGAAGCCGGTCAGGAACATCAATATCATGTCCCATACGAAGCAAGAGCTGTGTAGCCCAACCATGACGACGAAGTGCCCAAGGGGAGTTGACATCCCTGTTGCCTTGCTTCCGCTTGCGAATTGCCACCACCCTGTGCTTGAGTCGTTTCTTCAAGCCATCGACGGCAGACCTGGAATAAGGGACCAAGCCTCTTTCAATTCGAAGACGATTCAGATGTTGCATCGCCATTGTCACGCTCATGCTCTTCCGTTCAATGCAGTTGGCAATGAAGACGGCATCAAACGAATTGTTGGGGATGATGACGGGCTTGAGTCCAGCATGAACCCGCTGGCCAGTGTAGACAATGTGTTGCTCGCAGCAATGATGCAAGTCGGTGAAGACGTCAACATACTTTGTCCGGTTGCTTTCTTCGTACAAGTCTCTGCGGATCTTGACTTGCATGCCATTGATGCCAATCCATGGAGTGTCTTTCCGTGTCCTCGTGGAATGCATACTTGTAAGCATAAAGATATGCAATAGCCATCTTCTTCGCCCTCTCCTCTGGCAATATCTGCGCCAAAGCAGCCTTGACCTTCTGCTCATCCGGAATGTAATCCATGTCATCGTCAGGATCAGGCTCCGAGTCGTCTTCTTCCATTGAGTCTTCGTCAGGCTTGAGGCGATCCGCCAAGGACCGGAGGGGCTCCTCCTCGTCCGAGGAAAGATCTGCAAGACGAGCATGATGAGAACGACGGGTTGGACTCATCCCCAAAGCTTCAGCCACGTCACTCGCACGCTTGACACGCCTTGCTATTGCTTCCTCAGGAGTGGCAGGAGTGACAGTGCTTCGGTCATGGCGAGCTTGTTCCTTCTTGGATCGCTTCTTGCCTCCTTTTTTGTGCCTCTTGATGCTGCTCCGGCGACCGGTCTTGGCCATGGTGGAAGGAAAACAGAAGACGGACGTTCGCTGGGTGGATGGACGGAGCGAGCGTGGATCGGCCTTGTAAGATAACGTGACAGCACAAGCCGAGTGAAGAAGAAGAATCCCAATCCCAATGAAACAACGGCAGACCGAACGGCCGATCCCCATGGTGGTCGATCAATTGACCGGAAGAAAGATAATGAAGAGCCACCATTCCGACAACAGAGACAGAGCTTTAACAGTTTTCAGTAGTCAAAATAATGAGATGCCGAAGAATGAAAAATGAAGACGCCTCCGACTGAACTGGTCGATCGCGATCGCGATCTTCGGCCGTTGGCTCCAACCACTCTCAGTGATTCGTGGCGTCTTCCACATGAGCAGGAAGCGGATGCCGATGGTCGCAAATATCGATCCCATCTGCTAAAGACACAACACAATGAGATGCCGGCCGATTCCCATGGTCAACTCGGAAGGTCAAATATCAATCTTGTGTGTTGTGAGAGGAGCGGCATGTTCTCTCGGAACGAAAGGATGCCATCAACATGGACTCTGACACTGATAAACATGATCGAAAAGAGATGCCCATGATCACGAAACTTGTTGTGCGATTTTCTTTGGATGCAATGACTAAATAGAGAACTCAAAAGACATTCTGTGACTGGGGAGCGGGCCATCTAGTTTAAAACTAACCTCACATTTTCAGCCTCACATTTTCGTAATTCGCCAAAAAATGAGCCATTGTCCTCATCGTGAAAGGGGGGGACCACTTTACAGTCGAGGAAGTGACCAAAACTCAAGAAATGAGGCTCTGCAGGCCTCGGTTATACTCTAAGCTATGCCTGCAACCCCTCTTTTATTGGATTTGTTCATCTCCTGATAGAGAAAAGTGGTCCCCCAATCTGGATTCCGGACTGAAGCATCAGTACGGTATCGGCCGCACCTCTACTACTATCGCAGTCTGTTATCTCTCATATCCGACCTTCTCCGGTTCAGAGCAGAAAGCCACCACCATTGAAAAAGCACTGCAAATTGAAGGTTTTCTTTTCTCGGCCGATGACCTTCAAGTTGAATACACAAGAAAAGTGAAGGTGCAGAACAGAAAGCCATCCCTCATTGAATCGTATGGACCTTGGGAAGGCAGTCAGATCTCTACCGTCAAAGCGCCATTGTTGATCCTTTTTCGATTGGAAGATACCTACTAGTAGTACAGTACCTCTTTTCGCTGAAGAACCGCGCTTCCTTTTAAAACCTTATTACTGACACAAGAACAAGACTCAAGCGTATCCTTGACTCGATCTTCCTTTCGCGCGAAAGATACTCGTACCTCTATGGCCGTACGGTACGGATCGAACGCTTTGATATCTAACTCCTCTCCACCAGCAGCCACAACAACAATAACCAACACAACAGCATCCAACAGCCACAGTGCAGATACTATTGATACATTTGAAGCCTCAGGTGTATCCTTGAACTATACGTACCGCGCGAACGATACCTTCTCTCCGTACCGATCGACCGATACGTCCTCGACGTCGAACTTGATATCTAACTCCTCTCCAGCAGGGGCCACAACAGCAACACACACCAACGGTGTCGCTGGTATTGACAGTACCTTCGGTACCGGTATGGAGGAGACGTCATGAGAAGCAGCTGTAAGCTAAACCCTGCCCAAAACGGGGGCATAGCCATTGGAGGTACGGTACCCAAGAAATCCGGTGCAAGGATGTCGGTACCGTACCGCGTCTTCAATACCGGTACATGTACATGTACAGCGTGAAGTCGACATGCTTTGATCGCTGAACGGACTGTAGTATGTATGTAGCGGTACAAAAATAAATGCTGTCTGGCTCATTTTTCAGATTTCAGTGTTCAGACTTCCTTGGAATGTTGCGAGTTGTCTCGTAGACTACCGGTACACTAAAAAGACACTTTTTATTTTAAAAAAGTATGCTACTGAAACCCACGCTGGGAAAAGACCAGTCCCTCCTACTTCCACCTTCGAGCGAACCTATAAACCTGGTACTAGTACACTGGTAGGGAACGGAATAAATAAGCCCATTTGTTTGAACGGGTCTGCAAATCGTGAACTACATGTACTGTAGCTAGCCAGTAGTGGTATCTCTACGAGCTCGGAACAATTCTGGATCACAGATCACAGTCGAGCCCAACCATCACGTTTTTGCCAAGACCACAGCCAGCTGCGGGAGTGTGGAGTACCTGACATCCTTGAAACTTGCCCACACAGGTCAAAGATTGGGCGGATGGCCACATATTCAGCCAACCAGTTGCTCCGCCTCTAGAGAGCTAGAGATAAGTCGAGATGGGTTGCAGGCTTGGTGCGCTCAGGGCCTCATCCACTGGTGGGTACGACTGTACTGTAATGCCAAACGCTGCCAATGACATCCACGCACAGTCTTGTACTATTAGATGCTCCAGAAACAACGTTTAAAGAGACGCTCCCAAACAACATTTAATAGTGCGGTCACCAAAAAGATGGAACGATTTTGCGGCATCCCAAAGTGATGTGGTATGTGGTACTGTTGGATGAGAGTATTAATAAAACAACATTCGAGACTTGCGCCTTCAACTGCCCCCAAGATACCGGTACTTCATACAGGTTTCTAAAGGTTCACCACTATCGCTGATCAATGAGTGTGCAATGCAAGTATGCAAGTCACAACGTGAAGTTTCTTCTCAACTTTTAAAACATGTGCTTGCATTCTGACTTCAATACATTCTTCCATTGTTATTATCTGTTCTATTTAGAAGCTTTTCTCGCTGGCTCCTTTCCAGCCCTGTCAGACTTCGGATGGTCCGGGCCAAGCTTACACCTTCTGGGATAGTAAAACCCAAACGGAAGCAAGTGTGTCACGAAAAGAATTTGGAACCAGTACGAACTTGAGCGAACCACCTTCCATCGATCAGTCAAGCCCACATCGCGTTTTTTTTGTTGTTGGCTGCAGCCTACGAGATACTACTTCCGGAGTGCGCATAGTACCAGTGCTACTCATGCTGTGCACAGATCTTTACATCACCCAGCTTGCTAGCTAGAGCTATCGTAGAGACTGAGCATCAAACTTGATTGTCTGCTGGTCTGCTGGTGCTTTCTCTTTCCTCACAAAAAACGAAATCGAAGGATTGAATCGAATCATTCAATTTAATTTGTAAAATTTGTAAGTATGAAGATGCAGAAGATGAGCCGCTGCTTCCTTGGACTTCTCTTGTTGTCCACTCCTGTTTGGGGCGACGACGATGAGAATCACAGGCGAGAGGGAGATACAGTTGTTGGAGAAGCTACTGGATACTCAAGCGAAGTCTCTGCTTCCTGGAATTTGGACTTGAGTGCAGGTTATTCTTCCGGGCCAGCGAATAACATTGTGATGAATGGGGCGGCGATTTTGATTTGGAAAACCCGCGACGACTGGAGTGATGACGAGTTTAGAGTCACCTTTTCTGATTGGAGCAACAGCAACAACATCCTATACGACAGTGGTACGATAGAGAGTCGCAACTGGAACGGAAACTCGGCTTCTGCGGGATCGCTATCTCCCAGTGGCCTGTATGATGTGCGGATCACGTGCACAAATTCATGGTATGATTGCGAAGGATACTTTGATTGGAAGGTTGTGGATTGCGGATGCCCTTCATCCTATCCAATCAAGTTGGGAGACTGCTATGTCGATAATAACAATTTGTTCAATTCTCGAGCAAATCGGTGTAGGGACGAAACGGTGTCTTCTCACACGGTGCAAGGGGATTGGGTGTGGCGAGTTGAATCAGGTCCAAATCCCACCATTGCTGTCACATACGGCACCTCGACCTCAGATGGCTTTACGTCTACCACCACTCAGGCCAGAAATTTTGGGGTTTCAATCAGTGCTGGAATCTCCATTGATGGGCTGTCGGCGGGTGCGACCATGTCAGCGTCAGAGTCCAACACCATCGCCAATGGTGTCTCCTCCATCCTCACCACAAGCCAATCTGAGACCTTTGGGGTATCGTGCGGCCCGGGGACTTGGTTCATTTGGCAATGGAGATTTGACCAGCCTGCTGATTCTAATCCTGGATTCAATTCCTTGACCAAGAACTTTGAGTGCACCAAAAGCCAGAACACCAAGCCGAAGTGTCCGCTTGGTTTTTGCGTTGAAGGTACAGAATGTCAGATTTGCAATGGTGATTACGCTGACTTGAGTGCCTCCACAGCCGCCCCGTCAAGGGCTCCAGTCTCTACTGAAACGACGGTGGCCGCCCCACCCTCCAGTTGCTTTTCCGGAGGCACATTGGTGGAGTTGGAAGATGGTCAGCCGGTGGCGCTTCGAGCTGTCCCAGTTGGGGCCAAAGTCAAGGTGGACGTCGATGTTCCCAAGTATGAGGTCATCTATGGTTTTGGGCATCACGAAGAAAGTCTCATGGGCGACTACTTGCGCATTGGCTGGAAGAGAAGCAGCGACTCACCATCCTTTTTGGAGACGAGCAATGACCACATGCTGCTCGTTAACTCTGACAGCGCCAAGAACTCTGGATTTCGCATGATTCCTGCCCACCAGGTTGAGATTGGGGACAGGCTGAAGATGCAAGCAGGAGAGGTCCAAGTCGATAGCATCTCCAAGACGCGAGCTCAAGGATTGTACGCCCCATTGACCTACTCTGGTACCATCGTCGTGAATGGTATTCAGGCTTCTCAGTACATTTCCGTCCAAGGCGAAGACCACTTGGTCCTGGGCGGATTCATCCACCTACCATTCAACTACCAGTGGTTGACCCATGCCCTCCTACTCCCCGTACGTTTCTTGGCTCCTCTCCTGAAGACAGACGACCCACGTCGGATGCAGCCGTTCATGCTGGGCTTGATTGATGCTGCCCAGAGTGTCCTTGCCTGGCCTACTCTCGTCTTGTTGCCCGTTACCGCTCTGTTTCTTTTTTGCATGACTGTTGGAAGCATTGTGGAAAGTGGCGTCTTGGCAGTCATGGAGTACACCAACCCTGTCGTGTTGGGTTTGATTGTTGTCATGGCGGTCTTGATCCGCCGCTACTATCAGTTCAAGGTGTCCATGGGGGTGAACAACAAGATGAAGGCGGCATAGGTGTCCGTGCACTCTATATTGACACGTTTTGTTTGCGCTTGCTTATGATATGAAATCGCTACATACGAGGCCATCCAGGAAAGCACGAGACAGAGATACCAATGCTTACTTGGCGATGATCACATGAATTTGTTTGGACACCAGGCCAGCTTTGTTCGGGGCTTCAAAGTGCTGAAGTGCTTCGGGCAGATGGCCCAACTGCTGCTAGTTTGACAAGTCTCTGGTAATCCATCTTCTCTTTTCTCCATATTGAAGTCCACTTAAAAATTCTACTTAGCCCCCTGTATTTAAATCCACGTCCCGTCCCAGCGATAGCTTGCAGGTCAGGGCGCCATCCTGCCGAAGCGAAGAAATGCAGCCGGGAAGGCGGGAGTTGGGAGTTAGGACAGCCTACCGTACCGTACTGTGGGCAACTCCGACTGATCCTTGGGGTAACTACGCACCACTGGCTACTGTAGCAAGGGTGCATCTAGTACAGTAGTAGAGATTCGTTGACACGGTTTAGCCTACCGGTAGCTAGACCAGTAGTTGGAAGTCAAGAGCTCGAGGAGTGATGTGCAAATGGATCTAGCTAGACTTATACAGTGTTACGGTGTTGTATCTACATGCTTTGCTGCGAGCACGTCTATGAAACTCGCGTCGTAGTAGCGACACCACGGATCATGCCGCGAAGCCAATCTGTCGAGGTACTTGACGTACTAGTCGCGACTGGTGCTGTCGTCTTGGTCTGCTCCTTGGTCTTTCCAATAATGTTCAAGGAAGGAGGCGCTACCTCGAGAATGTTGACGGATGTAGGCTCTGCAGTGCAGTCTCTTTTTTGGGCCACAAGATGGGTCCCCAAAAGAGATACCAGTGGTGCACCCACTTCAGCTTCGTTTGCCGCTTCCCAGGTTTGCAGACTGGCAATGATTTGGCCTCCCACGGCCAAGCTTTCCAGGCTCTTGGCCGTGTCCACGGCATCCCCGCTGTAGCTGATGCGATCGGAGCAAGGATCCTTCATTTGCTTGACACTGCCCAGGTGCATGGAGACCCGTACTCGCAGTCCTCGTCGACCCTTGCCGTCATCGGCGGCCCATGGAAGGCGGAGCAGCTCGGGAGCCCATGCGACAGCGTTCATGGCTTCTTGCAAGCGCAGAGCAAAGTTGAGCGCATCCGTGGCATCATGGAATGCCACGGAAAAGGCATCACCCTCGGTGGTGATTTCATATCCGGCGTGTACCGCAATCTGACTTCTCATAATCTTGTCATGGAGGTTCAAGGCCTGTCGCATGACGATGGGATTGGTTTCCCAGAGACTGGTGGATTCTTCAATGTCCGTCAAGACAATGACTGCCTGGTCCTTGGGTGGAGCCTTTCGTTTTTCCAAGCTGGAGTGTCGTTTTTGGTCCACATGAAGCGCTTCCAGACTCCGACGTAGTGCGACATTCTCCGCGTCGATGGCACCCATCATTTCCCGGGCTTGACTCTGCGCGGGGCTGGCCGCACTGTCTATGCTTACGCTGTGACGAAGGCTGTTACGAGGCATGGCATTACCGGTGGCCTTGCTCCATTCTCGCAGCAACTTTTTGCGGTGAAGCCGTTGGTGAATCTCGAGATCATCCAGGGTCTCCAGAAAGTCTTGTTCGGTCTCGATGGAAGTCAAAAAGCCCCCGTCCATGCCATTGGCGATAATGACGGCTTGGTATTCTTGGAATTTGGCACCGTAGGAAGCGACTGTGCTGCCGATCTCTTCCTTGGTGTATTCTTGAAGCGATTTGGTCGATTGGTTGGCGCCCATGGTTGCAAAGGTGATACGGTTTGGCTGGCTAGCTATAGAAAGAGGTCGAGAGCTCAAAATTGTGAGAGATCGTTGAGTGAGGCAGCTTTCATTGGGAGTGGCAGGTCCTCGGAAGGGTCGGATCAACCCCGCTAGCTAGCTGGTTCCGCACGATCAGTCATCAAGCTCAGGCACTTGAACGCTTGAACATCCAAGAAGAGCCGAGTGGTGCGGTACCGGTACATACTCCGAAATTTTGCGGCTCTAGCAAGTCTGGTAAAGCCGAAGAAAGGCTTTGGTGGTCAAAATGTATGTGGCATCTCTCGTAAAGCTTTGGTGCCAGCGTAAAGAAGGATCTGTGCTTTCCTTTAAATCATTTGACTGAAAAGAGTCATCAGACATCAATTTGGCTTTAAGGCCTCTTCAAAAGGAACGCTGACACGATCAGGAGTTATGGAAGAGGCATCGCAATGCCCCTTGATTCTTGGCTCATTAAAATTCGTCAACAGATCCGCCGTTCCAAGTCCAATCGGCCTGCTAGCTAGCTGGCTACGCATAGCTAAAGTCTGACTGATCCTGGATTTGATGAGGATAGATGACGATGATAAAGAATCTCAGACGCCCCACCCAAAGGCTTGAAGTTTTCTCGGAACTGGGGACCGGAGTCACAGAAACTGAAAACTGCTTCTATGCTCTTTGCTTCCCGTAGGCGCTGAAGCCGAGGGGGCATGGAAGCATGGATACATGGATCAGCAACGACAGAAGCAGCATACGAAAGATTGAACCTTGTGGGTCGGTGTGGAACCTTCGACGACGACTGATGACTCCAGCCAGGAAGCTTTCAAGTAAAATTACGATGAGGTGGCTACTTCCAGAGGAATAGGCCTGCCTTCCACGGAGGAAATTGAAGTTGAGTTTCTCCTGAGCTCGCCTCTATCATCAAGCAAGCACCACCAGAATGGAGAATGGTACGGTGGTTGTCTCTGTTCAACCATCGTGTTGCAGAGGGGCTGCCAGGAGTCACTGTTGGTGTTGCAGTTGTGGGTTGTTCCAGTGGTTGCTTGGACTAGGACTGGGAGAACCAGTAGAAGCGGTTAGGACAGCGCTTGCTGCCGCAAGATTCCTTGTGGAGGCCCTTAGCGGCACTTATTTGTCCGGTTCATTCAGATCTGCCTACAAGGGCTCAAAAATCCTGCTCACGCACCCCTTCTCCACATTCCTGACACCCCCCCCCCCCAAGCTTTTAGGTGCGGTACATGTGTCTTAGCCATTTCCAGGCTCATAGTTTAGCACCTCAATGATGGCAATGTCTCCAACTACGTACCAGGGGTGACCAGTTGAGTCGAGTCGCAAACTCATTGGTGACCTCGTCGCCGTCCTTGCCTTGCTTAGAAGATATTATCATTTTTTTTGCCTGGATCTTGGCTCCGGCGTCCACGCTCCGTGAAATCTCAGCAGTGTTTGTTGGTCTATGGTTCCTTCATCAGGTTATGACATGCGCTTGAATGACACCTTCGCCACTCACATCATAACGAACCAGCGATCTTCTGAAAATACCTTCGGATTCGGTGCCTCGTTCAAGAAAACAACAATGTGGGGAACAACGCTACTTGCTGGTACAGAACTACAATCTTCCTTCCGATAAGTGCGAAGGGGGATTTAGGATCTCTGCAATAAGCTGACCTTTCCAAAGCTAGCCCCAAAGAACATCTCTGAAGTCGTCAACAAAACATGGCCAAGAAACTCATCAGGATTCTCTTTCAACCAATTCTCGACTTCTTGAGGGATATCATCAACCCATCCACTGTCGGCGAGAAGGACCCACACAATATCCGACTCTTTTATCTTGGGCAAACACAGTTTCGCCGCATTGGGTGCTTTCATTTCCTTCGGACCTTCCCACAACTTACCGCGGTATTTCTTTAAGAGTTCGAGCTTCTTTGTCACAGTTTTCGTGTTTATCTTGTTCTTTCGTGTTTGTTCTCAATGAGAGCAAACATCCAAGTGGTGTCCCTTTTCCGCAAAACAAAGAGCGAGCCAAAGCCATCTTTGCCCTTTGCTGGCTCGATACCAGATCCTGCACTCAAAACCATGTTACTCCTGACGGCTGCATTATTTGTAAAGAGCTTCTTGTCACACTTATAGATATCTGCCGTGCTGGGGTCTGGTGGAAGCACTTGAATGCCGTTGGGAGATCTGAATTTTGTGCAACAGGTTGCACCGCGAAACACATGCAGACGCAAATCAAACTCATTGATGGCAGTAGCATTTGGTGGTACAAGCCACAGATACGGCCTTTCCGTTGGAGCATTTGGAGTGCGATCAAAGCCCCTCGATTTTGACCAAGCTTCATTTGAAGCATTTCTCCATTCAGCCACCTTGACACAGTTGTAGTTTGCGTCCCTTTTGGCTTCATCTCGCTCATAATACTTGCTTACTCCTCCGGGGATCGTTGACAACGTTTCAATTGCCCGATCGTCTGATGCATCAATAAGCCCCCATCTCCTGCGCACTGCGGCATCGATTCCTTCCTGGCAGTGCCAAAGACGAAACGGCATGATGGTACAGTAACAGGCCAGCAGAAAATTCAACGGCCTCGCGGTTCTTCAGGACAAGAGTCCAAAGCCCTACCTCCATCATCTTGCTTTCAAGCTGGGATTGAACTGCCAATGCAAGCTACGCCTTGTCTTTTGCACTAAAAAATAATGTACAGAATCTTCAATCTAACTGGTCCATGTTGGCTTGTTTGGTACGAACTATCGCAGAGAAAACTCTGTTCTGTTTGATTCTTTGCTTGAGATTTGGAAACCAGAAGCCATTGATAGATTGTTCTGCCTCCTGCTATCCGTCAAGCAACATCATGCTGGTTGACCCTAGCTAGCTAGCCCGCATTCTCAAAGGGCTTTTACATCCTACCGCAGTAGCCAGCTGTTGGTGACCAATGACACCAAGAGCGACCACAACAGTGCCCGCAGCTTGCAGTGCGATCACTCCCTAACTAAAAGAACGAAGCTTCTCTGTTCCGCTCTTGATACAAAATTACGGTACTGCTAGCTAATATTATCGGGCAGCTGCCATCTTTCAAATCGTTTAAACCTTTGAGTGGTGGTTGACCCGAAGATACAGTCAACATTCAGATATATATACAGGGGGGGATTCAGGAATCCAGTAAATATAACAGTGTGTCTAAATATAGAGCGTTACTGCTACTAACCACTAGTAAAGAACGAGTGGAGAGTGCCATCACGTTTGCGTTTGCCAGCCCTTGTCGCCCTGGCCATATTCAAGGCTCTGGCAAACCTATCAAGATGCACAGTAGCAGCTTGGTTGATACCCAAGCTGGAGGCACTTTCGGACTTGGCTTGCATGTGCTTGAACTCTGTACGAAAGGAATGGCAGGCCTTGTACCAGTCAGATCTGTTCTTCGCCTTGGCTACATCGTTCTTTGAACCTGCTTTCGGTCCCCTCTTCGCTCCTTTCTTCTTCGTTGCGGTTGAATCGGCGCCGTTCATGTTGGCGCCGTTCATGTTGGTCTAGGTCGGATTGGAGGAATTGTTATGGTTTGCTTGCACTTGTTTTGTTGCTCAGAGAATTGTTTTTGTCTCCTCTCTGCCATTCTGCGCAAATCTCGCGAAAACACCATGAAAAACCCCACGAACGAAGATTTGCGCGGACTGGCAGAGAATGGACAGGCAAGCGAACTCCCATCGGCACCTCATCGGCATGCATTGGCATGCATTGGCATTTACACGTATGTCTCTGTCGAATTGGACCGTTTGCGATGGATTGCGAGCGATTGTTTTGCTGCTACGAGATTTGCGAAGGGTGTACTGACGTCATTCACGGTCACTCGTGACTGGGGGGGGGAACTCGAGATATAATAAATATTATAGAGCGAATAAATATAAGATTATAAATATAAGCGAGCGTTAACTGTACCCAAAAGACATGGAGCGAAGCGACAGCTGGCGAAGCATGTTTCAGCCACCAACCAGGTGCCAGAAGTCACAATTGACGCTGCCATTTGCAACTGCAAACTCCGATTTGCTTCTCGTTGCGAAGCGCGAAGCCAAAATTTTGTCTCGGAAGCCATTTCCCAAGACATCAAGACCCATCACACCACCAAAAGCGCAAACATCAACCGACCCTCGTGCTATACTCCGATCTAACTTCCCCAGCAAGTATATATATCAGAATCCAAAAGACCAAGTCATTGTAGCCTACTCACGACAATCCACTTAGTCTACTTGTGAAAGAGAATGGTCCGATTGCCGTTGCATCTCTCCGTGCTGTTGGCAGTGTCTTCTTGTGAAGCCTTTTCCTCGCGACGAGCAGCCCTTGGCAAGAGACATCTCCCGTTCTTTTCCAACGACCGCCTCCAGACGACATTTTTGAACTATCAATCCAATACTACGGACGTTGCCTTGCCACCTTGGGTGACGGAATGGCACCACATTGCTCCCTTGGAGGAGCGGACTGTATTATGGCCCGACGAAGAACCGTTGCCACTCGGAAAAGCTCCACGGATACGAGATGATGATGAGGAACTGTCGTTTGTCCAAGAAACAACGACAACAACAACAGCAGAAAAACAACCCATGTCCGATGTCGCCAAGGCACGGCTGTTACTGCTGGGATCTGCGGCACTCTATGGGACCAACTTTTCACTGGTCAAGATTTTGGGAGAAACGGGCATGTCCGTGGGTCTCTCATCGACTCTGCGGTTTGGAATGGCAGCACTGGCGACATTGCCCTGGTTGCTTTCGGTCGATGACCATGACGACCAGAGTAGTAGCAGTAGTTATTTGCAAAAACTCTTTGATCCCTCGGGAACCGAGTTTCGAGCCGCCATGGGAGGCTTGGAAGTGGGCATGTGGAACGCGATTGGCTATGTCGCACAGGCAGTAGGGTTGGAAACCACTTCGGCATCGAAATCCGCCTTTTTGTGTTCCTTGGCGGTCGTAACGGTACCCATTATTGACTACCTGGCTGGCAAGACACTGCTTTCACGGCAAGTGATTGGAGCGCTCTTGGCGGTGGTGGGTGTGGCATTCTTGGAGCTAGAAGGAGGAATTGGAGCCAATACGGGGCTGGAAGCAGGAGACATTGCTTCCTTGATACAACCGTTGGCCTTTGGAATTGGCTTTTGGCGCATGGAAGCGGCCATGACCAAGTTCCCCGAAGAAGCAGATCGAGCCACTGCAGCACAACTGCTCGCTGTCTTTCTGGGATCGGCTGGGTACATGCTCGCCACTAATACATTCTCGGATCCTACCACCATTCCTCCCATGGAACAGTTGGTTTCTTGGGTGACAGATCCAGCCATTCTGGGAGCACTCTTTTGGACGGGGGTCGTGACAACCGGTAAGTGCAGGCAAATTAAGTGGGTGTGTCACGCTCATCTATCTATCTTTTGGTGGCCGCTCACTGTTCCCTTCCTCTAAAACCCAGCTCTTACAATCTACATGGAAACGGTGGCTCTCAAGACTCTGAGCGCAGCCGAAACAACGCTCATTTTCAGTACAGAACCGCTCTGGGGTACTGCCTTTGCCTGCGTCGTCATGGGAGAGACATTGGGCTTGAATGCGGCTGCTGGGGCCGTTATGATCTTGTTTGGGTGTGTCTTTTCCAACTTGGGGCTCGATGGGATGATATCCTTCCTGCCAGGACAACCAGACAAAAAGGAGTCGGCAGACAGTGACAACAAAGACGTCACGATGATGATCAACCTGGAGCAACCGCTTGAGCTCAGTGCTGATGACAGCACTGCAACGTTGTTTCCATCCGTTGCCCCCACTGTTGCAACCACATCCAACCAAAACCTGTTGCCAACCGATCCCTTGACAAAGTTTTCCCTAAAGTCTACAGTAGCAACTACACTAGCAGGGGTCGTAGCAACCATTGAAGATATTGTTCCATAACAAAACTCTGCAGCAAGCCCAGCAATCAATAGATTGACCGAACCTGGAACGCTGCAAACGAGAGACATGCGACGGTGTCACTACCAGGTACAGTACATAATGACAGACTTTTTCGATCCATCAGGATCTTGACCAAAACAAACAGCATCAAGCTGCAGTACGTATTACATGCCTTACACAAAACCGTCCCTGAGGCCAAGTTGAGAGCCGAAACAGAGGACTTTCATACATAACCAAAAGAACTACCTAACCTAGAGAGATAGATTTTGCAATACCTTTTTTGGCCTGATGGACGAAACAGGTTGGGCCCAAGCAGGTCGCGCAAAGGTGACACTTCACGAAGTTGCACACTGCAATCAAAGCAGGTGCCAAGAGCAAGAGGGATTGGATGGAAACGGCCATGACCGAATCCCAGAAAAGAAGCGGACCGAGCCATGGTGGAACAGCTGCTCTCTGTCTTCTTGGGATCGGCTGTCCCAAATGGTTGCTATGAACACATTCTGAAGTCCAGCCCAGAGCAACAGAGATAGGCGCGATTCTCGAGCGTTGAATCTTCATCCTTTGACAGGAAGCGGTCGTGCAACTTGGGACTGCGTGCGGAGCTGCTGTTGCTGCACTGAAGGAAATCTCGCTCGGGATGGAGATGTACCTCCCAGCCCTCTGGGCTCCTGAAGAGGCTTGGAGGGAACCGAGGGTTCGACGAAAACAGTCAATGGTCCAGAAACTGACAAAACCGAAAAGTATCCACCAAGCAAGCTCGCCAGAGGGCCGCAGCATCGTTTTGCATTGCAAAGCTCTTGAGGCAACCTCAGCGCACTTCCCTATCCATGCGAGCACCGAAGTGCCATCGTCCATATCATTATGTGCACTGCTTGTTCCGAAATGGCTGCAGGGCAGCTTTGAACCACTGAGAGCTGGTGTTGTTGCTGAGAGCTGTTGTTGTTGTCAAAGAAACAGTATGTGGTATAAGTAATTGTCATGCTATTAAATAGTGCGTCTCATGTTCTATGAATGTGAAAAAGAGTGCATTCTGAAATCTTGACCTTGCTTGCTGCATGTGATTTTGACTTGTCGCCTTTGTGAAACTTTCTTCAACCCTCGTAAGCTTTCACTGCGACCCAAGCTCCAAAATCACAGATCATCCATCCATTGTTTGTTCGTTCGACCCATCAAAAGATTTCTGTTGAACAAATCAATGAATGAATTTAGTTTCGGCATCCAGGGCATCCGGGCTTGTCTCCGGCCTTGGGGTTGGCGAGACGTTCCTCGATTTCGGCACGTTCGTCCATCATTTGTTGGAAGCTAACATCTCCACGCATGGGGTCCTTGTAGAAAGGTTCACCGGGGTATCGGCCAGAGGCATCGGGTGAGTTTCCATCGAAGGTCTCGAAGGGGTTGAAGTTCTCTGGGCTGCGTGGGGCACTGGGGTCCCAGACAGCGTAGATGTCCTTCTTGGCATCATTGTCCCAGAGCTTTTCGTTGTACTTTCCGTAGGTGTCGAACATGGCGGTGGTGACACGGGCTCCCATGGGTTGGGGGGCAAAGGCCGAAACAGAGCCAACAAGGGCAAGGGTGGCAACGAGAGTCTTGAACTGATGGGGCAAGAAATCACAAAAGGGAGAACGAAGAGAGGTCAGCAATGAATGAAGCAAGCAATAGAATCGTGATCACAGGAACCACCAATACATCAAAGACAAGCCGAGTCATTAGAGAATAGATCTCCTTACCATTTTGATTAGTTGATTATTTTTTCCTGGTAGAACAAATTGTGACCGATATTACCAAGGGTGTCAAACCATTTCCTTTTTCTTTTCGGGGCTGCCCGAGTGCGTACGTTCCAATCATCATCAGCCAAAGGATGACTGCTGGGCTTGCCACATCCAAGGCAAGATTCTCACTCGCAGCATCACAGTCGATCGTCTGCCTCTGACAACAAGGATATTCTAAAGCAAGCGCTTTTTCGTAGCATTGATACCATCGGTATGGTAACGTGCGTACTACCTATCTATCTTTCATTCAGTGCTTCTGTCCGTCTTTGTCCAAGAGCCGCATTGCATTGGAGGCTTTTCCTGGTCTCGTTCCTTCCAGTGAACACGTACTCGCACTTATCTCTTTTTTTGAACACGTACTTCGCAGTTCATGTTTCGAATGAGTCCTGCGATATCTTTGTTCAATCCAGCGATTTTTATAGCCGTGAATGGGAAAGTCCGGTGTCAGAGGCAAAAAAGAAAAACGTGCAACTCGAAATCAGAACGCCAACAACAAGAGGAAGAGGATGACAACAACAATCTAACAACACATCAGCTTTGTGTTACGATAGCTAGCTATATAGATTTAGCTTTCTTTTGAGAAGCGACAGCTAGCTAATCTAGCTAGTAGGTGTTGCTGAAAAATTTAGCCAGGATCCTTTGGAAGTGCGTACCTTCAGGATCTTTGTGTAGCATCCAGGCATCAAGCCCTTCTTCCTCTGTGGGCCCGTCTTCTTCTTTATCTGGCCATGGGAAACAAGCGGCAGAGAAATGAAAATCAAGATGATAATGATATTACTGCGACGATCAAGGATGGACGGTATCGAATAGCCTTTGTCTGTGACTTTTTCTACCCCCGTTTCGGTGGGGTAGAAATGCATATTTGGAGTTTATCTCAACATTTGATCCGTCAAGGCCACAAGGTGATTTTGATTACCCACGCCTATGGCAATCGCACGGGGGTACGGTATATGGGGCCCGCGACAAACTTGCTCAAGGTGTATTATTGTCCGATTATCCCCATGACGGATCAAGATGCCATGCCTTCCTTTACCGCCACGCTACCCGTGATAAGATGGATTTTGCTGCGAGAACAAATTCAAATTGTGCATGCGCATCAGGCTACCAGTGTGCTGGCCAATGAAAGTGTCGCCTATGGATCCGCCATGGGACTGGCCACGGTTTATACCGATCACAGCTTGTTTGGATTCAATGATGTCGCTTCCGTTATCCTGAACAGGGTAAGTTTTCATCAATTGGAAATCCAGTTTTTTTTGTGTGTATCTAGCTATTTTCACTTTCCTTACCATCCAACCAATTTCTTTTATGGACCAACAGGTGCTACAAACAAGTCTTTCTACTGTCGATGCCGCCATTTGTGTGAGCCATACTTGCCGAGACAACCTAATTCTTCGGGCCCATTTGGATCCCAAGAGGGTGACTGTCATACCAAATGCCGTAGATCCTGCAAAATTCACACCAGATCCTTCACAACGAAGCAAAGATCGGTAAGCAAAATGGCATGCATGTTCTTTTGGGTTTTTTAAAAGTCCCCTTGAAGAGCGTTTGCTGATGTATGTGTGTTTTTCTATTTTCAGCATCAAAGTTGTTGTCGTATCTCGATTAGTCTTTCGAAAAGGCATTGATCTGTTGGTGGGAACCATCCCCCGTGTTTGTCAAGAACTGGAACAAGTCGATTTCATCATTGCAGGAGACGGCAATAAACTACTGGATCTCAAAGAAATGGTAGAACGAGAACGACTGCAGGATCGAGTCGAATTTTTGGGTGGTGTGCCACATGCACAAGTCCGAAGCGTCTTGGTACGAGGACACATTTTTCTCAATTGTTCCTTGACGGAATCGTTTTGCATAGCCATTTTGGAAGCGGCCTGCTGTGGATTGCTCGTAGTGTCGACACGAGTGGGTGGTGTCCCAGAAGTGTTGCCACACGACATGGTCTTGTTGCCACAACCCAACGTTCCTGCTATTGTAGAGCATGTCAAGCTGGCCGTGGCAAAACAAGCGGCCGTGGATCCTTGGCACAATCATGAACGACTCAAACAAATGTATTCCTGGCATTGGGTGGCAGAACAGACCGTGGCAGTGTACGATGAAATCAGCCTCCGGGGAGAACGACGATCGCTATGGGATCGGTTGGCATGCTATGGCAAGTTGGGTGGATTTGCGGGATTCGTCGCTTACGTGATGGGGTTGACGTTGGAACTGTGGCTATGTTTGGTGTCGTGTTGGCAACCTGCCGAGCTGATTGATGTGGTTCCAGATCTCAACATGACGGCACTGACAACATCGGAGAAGAACAAACTGCAAGCTTTGTCGTCGTGAAGTGAAAAAAGGGAATTGCTAAACTAGGAAGCACCGTTTCCGGTGAAGTTGAGCCCAGCCACAAGGCAGCCTAGTACGATAGTGCCGGTGCGGCAACAGTTGCTTCCTTTTCCCTGCTAGTACTAGCTAGCTACTCGAGGCTTAGCAGCAAAGCTCATCCTCTCCGCTTCATCAATACCAGTACTGCCTGCTATGAATACTTGACCCCCTCCATGAAAGTTCTAGGATCTGGTACGTTGCCATTGAATTTGGCCCCTCGAAAATCGAATCCAGGATTTTCTTCCTGGAATCGTTCCAGCATCATTTCTTGTTGGACTTGCTGCTTGGCCATGGGATCAAGTGTGGCAGTTTGCTCCTTGGTTTTCTTACTGCCCATCAGTGCCACATCCCATACTTCTGCCTTGTTGGCCTTGGCCAAGTAAATGACTAACATTCCATCTTCCAGAGTCCACGTAGATTCGGAGACGTCCACAGTCCCAAAGGTGTCTTCGTCCATAAAGTACTTGCCCTGTTGTTCGACCAGTTCTGTGATTCCCAGTTGAAGATGCCGTGGCGCAATTTTGCAATGAATGCGATTTCGGGGCACCGGGGGTGCCTGGATGTACAGGATGACTTCTTCCAAATTTTGTTCCCATTCATAGACTGGTTTTCCATTGTATTCGTACACGTGGCGGCCAGTCTGCGGGTTCTTGTAGATGCGATCGCTGGAAGGACTTGGTGTGGGTTGTTGCGGCAGGTGGGAGCTGGATTGTGCCGATGGTTCCGCTGGTGCCGCTGGTCGACTAGCGACACTGGCCTTGGTCACCTCTTCTTCGTCATCAGAGCTGCACTCCAGCTTGTCGAACTTGGAATAGTCTGTTAGCTTGCTCATTATGCTTGTTTCCTACCGTATGCTCTCACCCTGGCCGCTGTTGTGTGTCATGGTCGACTGGTCGACAGCTTCTTTCGTCGCCTGTGACTCGACTCGACTCGACTCGACTCGACTCACTCGACTAGACTTGTGGGTTCTCGGTAGCCAGCAAGGCTGAATAATCAAATGTGCGCCAAAAGTGTAAGGTAAAGGAACGTTATCGTCCTATGAGTTGCTAAGTACCATACGGCATGCTCGGACGCACCGCCTCGCATCAGAATCGCTCACATTTTTTCTTCGATCGAAGAGTGAGCGATGATCTCGACTCCGCTTTACGGATCGTTGTCGCCGCTTCCTTTCTCTCATTGCTTGTCTATCTTGACCAATCGTCATTGCTGTCCGTACTCTACATCGTATAGAGATAGACTGTACCCAAAGTTGCCTCATTTTTTTTCGCTTGTTGCTTCATTTGTTGTCCAAGATTGACAACGCAACGTCACTTGAAACAACACAATATACACACAAGAAAGGAAAAAAGGGACAACAATGACGGGTATCATGTCGTCGTCGAACAGTAGTAGCATGCGTTCTTCTCTCCATCTACCAGCTGGAGCGAATCGTTGTAGAGCGGATAGTGGGTCTACCTATAGTTCTTCGGATACAAGCAATCGCAGTAAGACTTCATCCAGACGAAGAAGTCATCGACCAAGAGGGTGTCGTGGTGGAAGCTCGCGCAAAAAGAGGCGTGGCGGAAAGGTACCCAAGGAAATCGTGGGTGTTGAAGTGAGTAATGGTAGTACTTTAGGTGCAAGTACTACTGTTATCCATGATGGCGCAAGTACTATTGCTAATCAGGGAACAAGCAATGAGGCCAGCGGCAATAATACCTCGGTATCTTCTTCCACCACAACCAGCAGTAACAGTGCTGCTGGTGGGAAACCTAGCCAAGGCAATGCGGAAAAAGTATTGCTCAAGGGGACAACCGTAACAGAGAGCAGCAAAACCAAGGGAACTTTGGTATGCTTTGCTGCAGAAGAAGATTTTCATCCTCAGACGGAGTTCTCAGATGAGAATGCTGGTCGAAGATCTTTGCCTCATCATCAGGCATCACGTAGTAGTAGTGGCAACAAGTACATGCCTCTGACATCCAATGCGGCCACATTGAGTACAAATAATGAGGCAAACAAGACCAGCTCTGTGCTTCCTCCACTCAAACCAAAGACATCCTCCACCTCCTCCGCTTCCTGTCTTCCACCCTTGCAAGAGTCCATCAAGTCGCTTTTGGTAGCAAGAGAGCAGTCTTCCACTTCTACGAGTGCTACTCGGTCGTCGCTTCCAGCTTCCTCTAATGACCCAATCCGAAATACGACCAACCATGGTGGACAAGGCTACGCTAGCAATGATACTGCGGCTAGCAATGCTACTGCTACCAACTCTCCGCCGGCGCAGATCCTTCCTCCCTTGTATCAACCCGAACCTGAGACGGCTCAGCAGGCTCCATCATCTGAGCCAAGCTATCCTCCTGCTGGCCCTAACATCTATGCGCTTCAAAGCACCACAAGTCGCAACAACAGTGACATCAACAACAGCTATCTTCTTCATAACAACAACAATAACAACAACGGCATCGCCCCTAACAGTAGCTATCCCTATATGGGTATGGGAGACTACCAGCAACCAGCACAGGGACGTGGCCATCAGTTGTACCACAGCTATGACAATCATAACAGGTACAATCAGTATGGCGCCAACCAACAACAAAGCAGCAACACGGCGTTGCTTCAACTACACCAACAGCAGTCTCAACAACACCAACAGCTAGTACAGAACCATGCCAGTGGCAACAGTTACAACAACAACTTTGTCAGCAACGAAAACAAGTACGAATCTGCCGAGGAGTATCATTCGAGTTTTCACACGGAAAACAATCCCGAAAACTCCCACTACTCGGCCACCACCACCACCAATAACACACTCAAGTCGTTTCGCAGCAAAAGGAGCAGCAACCATGCCGCTCCTGGATCGACTACAGCCGCCGCCTACCGCAACGAAAGGATCGAAAAGCAACGTCAAATGATGGCAGGAGGTGGCAGTTTATTCGTCACCTCGCCCAAATCTTTTCTAATGGGATGGAAAAGTGATGACATGCCTCGAATGTAAAAAAAAGCACAAAAAGTATATGGGAAAATGACGGAGACACACGCAAAAGCGGCCTAAAAGAGGTTGTGTCGCACCAATGAGTGAAATGTGTTGGTGATTGATCGGTGGATATGATTCATAATGTTCGTTCAGACAAAAAAGAAAGGGAAAAAATAAAAAAAGTAACTCGTTTGCAGATCGCTGGTTTAGGTTTTGACAGTACGCTCGACGATCCATCGTCTCATTTGGGGTGATTGGTTTTTGACTATTGTTGCCAAATTTTAGAAACTTTACATACTACTACTTTACATCTTTGTACGCAAGAATTTGAGAGCAGAACAAACGCAAAAACAAGGAACCTTCTTAAAAATATCAAGATAACTAATTAGAGCACCCTTTTAAAAAGAAATACTGCAGGGCTTATGAGAGGATGTCGCCACAACAGCAGGTCGGGACCCTATCCCATGTTGGAGTAGTGCTGCTTCAAAACGAGCATGGCTCCGGCAACAGGATCTTTCTCCATGGTGCAGAGTTCCTTGACAATCTTTCTGAATAGGTTCTGCCTTTCTTTTGTGGCCTTCTTGTTGACATCAAACAACTTGGAAAGACGCTTGACACTGATACGGCCATGATTCAACCAGATCTCCCTTCGGACAGCCTGCAATGAAATGATACGAAGACCGTCCTTATCGACTTCGTTGCCTGTATCGTCTTCTTGCTTGGGAGGAGGTTTCTTTTCTTGCAGCTCGCTCTTTTCCTTGACTTTTTCAGCCGCCTTGAAGATCTTGAGTAGATGATTTTCTGGTTCATTTTGCGCCTTGAAGGACTTTTTGAGAGCTGCCCGCCCTTTGGGATCCTCCTTGCGTGGGTCCTTCTTGCCAGCCTCGGCACCATTGGCAGCCGCCTGTGCCTCGGCCGTTTGGTTGGGATCTGTGGTGGCTCCTGTCTTGGCTTTGGCCAGCAGTGCCTTGAATCCAGCGACGGAAGCGAGACCTTCTGCGCCCGTGATTTGTTCCGTCCCCCCTTCTCCTTCCTCTTCTCCATCTTCCTCTTCGTCTTCTTCCTGTGCAAAACCGCTCTCCACCACCACCTCGGTCTCCCCCACATCGACATCATCATCGTCAAATTGCTCTTCAATATCATAATCCAACTCATCGTATTCCGCCTTAACATCACGTTGATAGAATCCATCCGCCATGGCCCTTCCATCATTTCCCACATCGGAATTGCCTTGTGCCGCTTGTCCAGCTTTGCCATCGGTTTCTTCAGCCTTGAATGCCCCGAATCGTCGTTTTCCTCCAAATTCGTCATCGTGTGCCCCACCCAAGACACCATCATCATCAACTTTGACACCATCTCCAAGGGTCGACAGCAATTCCTTACGGGCTTTGGTATTCCCCTTGCGGTCACGAAAGGTGATATCACCCATGATATCATCCGTTTCATCATTTTCGGCAGCTTCCGACGTGCCACCAAATGCACCCTTTTGGCTGGCTTTGGCGAGTCGCCCCAGCAATCGTGCTTTGGATTGATTGACGGGTTGTTGGGCAATGAATGAGTTTTGATTTTTATTGTGCATCATGTATCGCGTCATTTGATTGCGTTGATCCAGAATGGCGAGTTCGGCTTCGTTCATGGACATTCCTTTGCGGGATGCCGGTTGTGCGAATGCAATCTGCGCATTGGGTGGAGCCGGCAAGAGCGTGACTTGTATATTGTGGTCGTGACCATTGTTGTTGTTGTCAAATTGTGGTCCGTTGGTTTTGCACTCGAGTAATACGAAATGACTGGGATTGTGTTCGGGGACTCCTTCGTATCGCGAGCTGATCTTGGCATTGTCGGATTTTTTCTTGCGTTTGGAATCAATCATGGTTTCGAGGAATTCGACCTGTTCTTGTAGGATCCATTGTCGTTTGGGCGGTTCGTTGCGTTTCCGTCGCCATCGCTTTCGGTTCTCAATGGCGGCTAGTTCTTCGGCTTCTTCGTCCGAGTCAATCTGTTAGTTTTGGTTAGTTCGTTTTGTATTGTATCGTATTGAAGCGATTGATTGATTGATTGTGAGAGGGTCACAGCGAGAGAGTTCGAGAGAGAGAGGGTCAGATGGTGAGTCGAAAAAGACGAGCGAAAAAGAGGACTTTTTGATGGATCCAAAGAAGTTAAGGTTCAACCCTACTGGACTTACCTGAGCCTTGGGGACATCTTGCTGATACAATCGAGCATCTTTCCACTGCGACGTCTTGAACTCTGGTCGAACGACCGACTCTGGGAACTTGGCAATCAAGGGAAAGCATTCTTTGGCAGCCGATGGATTCACTGGATCTGGAATGGCATCCCGATTAATGCTGGGTCCTTTGATCAACGTGAAACTCATCTTTTGACCTGGGGGCAACGTTTTACCCTTGCGTTGCAGCAACAGATCCAATCCTTGACGAGGGACCTTTGCGGCATTCTTATTGTCGTTGTTGTTAGGATTAGTAGACATGATGTTGGCTGGCCGAATGATCGAATCAGTCAGTGTAGTGGCTTAATAAGTTGATTGGCTATCGGTAGTTGATGGATGGGAAAAGAGGGCAACCTAAACTGAACGAAAAGCAGCTCCTCTTCCTTCAACAACAAAAACAACTCGATCACACGTTTGCTGGAGCTCGCTTCGACCAATCTCCTTCAGTTCCTTCAAACCTGACCTGATGATAGACAGCTCCAACCTCTGACGACCATGCAGTTCGAACAGTATCTATCGGAGAGTGGAACAACAACTTGAAACTGGAGGAAGCGGTTTTGCGTCGATGTTCGGCAAGGACACTGGCACGTCTGTTTCGGAATCCCGGAACTCATCAGTCACGAGAGTTCCGGTGTCATCCAGCAAAAATCCACGCTATGCCAGGACACCTCTCAGGGGAAGCATCCCGCATCCACGCCACCGGTACCTGGTACCATGATACCAAGAGCCCACACGCCCACACACCTTTCTTGTCTCAATAATTGTCAAGATGACATACATGTATCATAGAAGAAAGGAATCTTGTTCTAAAGGAAACTATTGGTAAAAGTTCATAAGCATCTCTTCGCACTCAATCGATGCCCTCCCTGGCAACCAAAGCATTTAGCGCGCAATCTGATATCGAAATTGTAACACTCCTCAGCGGTTCCCTCCTGCGACCTGTCCTAGCTAGTTTAAAAGCGCGAACCTGACTCTAGAGAACGAAAATACGAATGATATGTGATATGTTCTTTAGCGTGGCTGCTCCAAACGTTAGTTTGTAGATTAGTTGTCTTCTTTTATTCAATCCCTTGCACCTTTCGAGGTGCGGTCTTTCGAATTTCCAACGTTCGAGTTGCTGCTGCCGCCAGAACTTCCACCGTTCAACTTGCCGCTCTTCTTGGAGTATATGACGCTAACGGAACCACCGCCTTTCGACTTGCTACCGCTCGACTTCCCACTGTTGTTCCCGTCGCTGCTTGAATGGCTGCCGGCTTGCGAGTTGCCCCGATTCTTCGAGTTGCTGCGGTTTTGACTGGAGCCGTTTGATTCGCCACCGGTCAAGGTAACCACCTTGGTTGATGAGCCAGCACCGGCAACGGGCGATGAGTCCAGCTTTTGGATCAGGCTGGAAAGCTGTGACATCAGTTCGGCTCGTTCCGTCCTCTCTGCACTGATCAAACGTTCTTCTGCCATTTCAATTCGCCGTGATAGCTGCATCTCGGTCTTGCGCATGGCTTGTCGCATAGACTTCTCCATGTGCTTCTCCAGGATGAAGAACTGTTCCATCAGCTCCCTGCGATCTTCGCCGTCATCTTTGTCGCCGGCAGCTTCCTTCTCGGCCTTGCCCAACAAAGCTTCATCTCGACTCGATGCCGCAGCACTCAAGCCAAATACATTGACCGTGACAAGGTACGTAAACAGTCTTGCCCAGTGGTCAGCAACACTCATGCAGGGCCGAAAAATTCCACAGAATATCCATTTCAGAAAGTCCCCAAATACAAAGAGTCCTACCACCCAAATGGCAATCAGCAGCACCAAAGCAAAGAATAGGTAGAGAAAGAAGAAAAGGGGATTTCCAAATTGACGGGACATTTCATTCAATAGAAAAATGTCTGCGGTCAAGGCCGAGCCAAGAAGGGAGAACACAACAAGCCATCGGATGATCATGCTGGTCCATTTCCAAGTGATCAGTACTTGAGCATTGCCAAGGACTGGCACGCCCTTCACTTTGGTTTGCAAGATCTTCAGAGGGTTGTTGCCTGGGCGTAAGAACGATTCGAGGGCAATTTGCTGTGCAACAAAGCCAACCTGGGGAAACGCCGGAAAATATGTGAGTGGCAGGCTGCCATCATGACGGGTGACACACAATAATTTCCTGCACTCACCCGAGCACTGCGAGGCATAGTGGTGCAGCAGAGAGCCAAGGTGAGATGGAGGTCGTTTGCGCATTCTGCGTGTATTTGCTGCGAACAGACTGTGACTCACCGTCCAAACAAGAGGAGACTAGATTCTTTGGAATTTGCGTAGGAATCGCTGATGACTAGAGGTACGGTGAGGACAATCAAGAGCATGTTCAAAAACGACTGCATTGAGAAAGTTGGTAGCAACCATCCCCATAATGGAAACGTAAAGAAGAACGTACCGGCAATCAGGACATTGAGCAGAATGATCGATCCCAGAATAGTGAAAGTGAAGAATATGATACTGATTTCGCGCGTTTGTGTGTAATCGTCTAACTCGAAATCGCCCAAGAGGACAGCGTACATCCGATAGTAGTAGTCAAGTGACCAGGGGGAACAAAAGTCTTCTTGTGCATCAGACAGGTTGCCAGAGTCGCACCACGCATCTTCCTTGGTTGTGGCGATGACGTGAATCATATCTGCAAACATGAAGATCACCACAAAAAGAACCACGATGAAGAAGCGGATATCCTTGACGATCTGGTACCGGTAGATACGACAGTTGAGTTAGCAACGGTAGAGGCTGTCCAACAGGTTGTGCCGCCGTGCCCACCTGAATAAGTGCCAACACAAATGTCGCCATTTCCTTGTTGGCAAACTTGAGAAACCCCAGCACCTTGATCCACAGCAACGCCAAAACTAAAGCATTAAGTAGCGCCCTGGAGTGAATGAAACATGAATGCAATCGAAAGTGAGCAGCGCTTTATCGACCACGATCCAGATCATGGCTGAGATTTCTTTTCTTACTCGTATCTCTCTGGCCGTTCCTTCCTCAATAAGTCGGCTATCAAGGTGAGAATGTGGGTCAGGGTGTCAACGACGTTCCTGAAAGAAGAAAACATGAGCTAAGTGTTCAAACACCCCCAACCCAGACCCTGGCGGCTTACCAGAGACTGACAAAGTGCTCCCAAAACGCTTTCTTCGAAATCAACAGGAATGACAAAGCCTCGCAGCCCTTTCTCACTATATAGTGGGTACAAATTACCGGGACAAGATTGGGCGGCGTTCTCGCAAGGAAAGTGTCGGAGGTTGATGGGAGATTGACATCATTCCTAAAAGACAACATGAGCGTCACGTGCAAAGTGAAATCAATCAGAAGAAGGCCTACCACGAAGGGTTGTGCGAGATTTCGATTCATGATAAACCATACCACGTTTGTCGTTGCTGCTCTCTCCGTTTCTTTCTCGTCCAACACAACCAAAGAAGGAATGATTACTTCCAATTCCTCAATAGCGCGATAAACAGTTTCGCGCTCTCGATGGAAAGCCGCTTCATCTTGTTCGTCTGGAGTTCGCTTAGGCCCCACATAATCGAGTGGCGTCGTTTGCGACAGCAGCTGAAAGTAGTCAATGGCCAGTTTCGAGGGCGTCCCTTGTCTAAGACACATGCCTTCCAACCATGTACCAACACTCTCTTGGGTCAACAAGGCTCGGCGTATGAAGGGCATTTGTAGAATTCGCTTGCGTGACGAACCAACCCCGCCGTCCAAGAACAGCACTGACTTGACCAACAATGGGACGCTTACAAGCACGTTGCCAACGTATTGCCGCCTTGCTTCCATTTGCTCCGCCAACGGCCTATTGCCGAGAGCTTCTTGGAGGACACCTTTTCCTAACATGTCATCGAGGATCATTGACAGCATGCTTAAGCACCATTCAGCGTACGGCCAAAGGTCTATGGCCGGGAACAGCTTGTCATACTGGATTGGCTTGTTCTCTTCTTGGTTACCGGATTTCCCAATTAAACTCTTCTTCATGGATGCGAGCGTCGACTGCTTTGTGTCCCTGCTGAATCTTCCCGACATGTGTTCATAGTGCACTTCAATCCATTGCTGCAACAGGGCGACGAAAGGAAGTCGTCCGTCGCTGTCGGGGTAAGTAACACTCTGTGGATATGCAGTTATCAGCAGCTTTGCGAGAGCCGTAGCACGTTGGCGACCTTGGGGATCTTTGACCAACCGCCCGTTCTCTCCCAATACATGCAGAGGTAGCCGGCCTTTATCATCAGCGCAATACGCTGCGAACGGAAACACCTCGAGGAGCTCCCTTAGATCTTTTGGAGGCAGTGTTTTCTCGTACGGCGCGGAGCATTTTTGGTGGAGGTACACGCCGACAGGATCCTGACTGCCTGCGCTTCCGGTGCTAACGTCCGGATAGTTTGGGAACATCTCTCGGATCTTTCGTTTCTTGTCGATCGATATTCTGGCTTTCGCAATAGCCCCAGTGGCAGCCTTCTTGGTTTTGTTCTTTTGAGACATTCTTTTCTTGGCAGGTGCAGTGGTTGGCGCCGAGGCAGGTGCAGTGGCAGGCGCAGGAGCCGGAGTAGTCGCTTTGGTTTCCGGCTTTGACTGTTCTTGGAGCTCCCGGCTTTCAGAAGGGGCCTGGGGTGCTTGAACAATTCGTGGTCCTTCAACTCTTGCTGGCACGGATTGACCTGCAGGATCGCCACCGAACGCCTTTGTGAATTGCGTCAACGGGTCTTCTGAACTCGATCGTGAGTTGCTCGATTGTGGCTCTGGAGTCGTAGCGGAACCAGACGCCACCGATGAAGGAGAGTCCTCGTCAATCATTTGCCCCTTGCCATTGCCCTCCGGTGTGGGACGAGTGAGAGCTCCAAACGCCGTGACAAAGTCAGTCATGGGATCTACGGGTCCCTGCTGCACTGATTCTTGCTTTGAGCTTTCTCGACTCTGCTGTCCCGACGACGAAGACGAAAGGGATGACGAGTTGGCACGTGAAGGGATTGACTCTTCGTCGATCATTTCGCGCTTGGTTTGTTGTTGTGCCACTTGGGTCGGTCCCGTCAGTTGCCCAAAAGCGGTTACGAAATCAGACATGGCATCGGGAGGGTCCTGCGGTGTGGACGGACTCCCCGCTTGCGATAACCTGCTGCTTTCATACGACTGCGACGCCACAGAAGATTCGGTTTCGGAAACAACGGAAAGTCCTCGATTGGTCGCAGATTCTTCATCAATGCTTCCCAGTGCCACTTCTGGCACGGTGGGCGGGCCCGACAAGGCGACGAATGCCGTCGTGAAATCCCCAATCAGAACATCCGAAGCATGCTCCTCTATTACCGAGTGGCCACCACCGGCGGACGATGATGACGACGATTCTCTCGATGCAGCGCTGTTTGACGCCGCCGCGCTGGACCTTCCCGACCGTCGACTAGACTCATCATCGTCGTCGTCGTCAATGCTGCCGCCGTCTGTTTCTGGCTTGTTCGTCGTAGGTCCACTGCTGACAAACGCTGCGAAATCCGACACTGCATCTTCTGCGGGAGGCGCCATGGTGGATGCATTGCTGGCTTCTTCTGTAGTCTCTGAATCTGCGGCGGCTGAAGCTGATGCTTCTTCCGCCATGGATGATGCCTCGTCATCAATGCTGCCACCACTGTCCGCAGGTGGCTTGTTATGGGAGGGCCCTCCTGCCGACAAGGACACAAACGCAGTGGCAAAGTCGGACACTGGGTCATCCCCTGGCTCCCCTCCTCTAGAATTGCCCCCATGACTGCCGCTCCCCCTTGATGATGATCCCCGGTGATGATGGCTGGACGACACGGCTGCCGATTTCTCTTCGTCGATATCTCCCCCGCTTGGCTTGTTGTCTTCTTCCTGATGTGTCGCAAATATACTGGCAAACTGATCGAGTGTATCTTCCCGTTCGGCATGTGCCGCAGCAGCACGGGTCGATACGGTGGACGCCACCGAGACTACTTCCACACCAGTGCTGCTGCTGTGGCTAAAGCTATCAATGGCTTGGGCTACATTAGTGTTGTGTTGTGGAAACAAGTCCCCTTGTGAGCTCGCAAAGACTGCGGCAATGTCATCAATGGCATCTTGTTGTTGTTGTGCTGGTGGTGATGGTGCCTGGCCTTTTCTCTTGGAGGAGGATCTGGGTGGTGGTGATGATTGTAGAAATCGGCTGCTACTGTTGTTCACCTTGGCAGCAGAGGGATCCGGTTTTCCAGGTTTGCGTGCCCCGGCTGGATCTTTGGCTTTTCGTTTGGATGTGTCTGGTAGTGACTTTTGTTGTTGTTGTTGTGGTACAGGAGGCGATTTCGTTTGTCTGGTCCGAGTGGCCTTGGCAGTTGCTGCTGCTGGAGCCATAGGAGGCTTTGAGTATAGTCGTCGTTGTTGTTGATGTCTGCCTTCTGATTCGGAAGACGACGAAGAAATCACCGAGACGGATTCGTCCTTCTTTTCTTCATGGTTGTTGTGGTTGCGTGAGGATCCATAGAGGGCGTACTGTCGGATGGCTTGCTGGGTGATGATGAGTCTTCCGGTAAACCCCGAGAGGCCAAGCTCTAGCACCTTTGGACCTGACGTAAAGGGAGGTGCCTCATTCTCGGGCACCAAGCTCAATTCTAGCCCTTCTTCAAAGGCATACTGATAGACCATGTTGACGGATGGCGGTTCTGCTGCTAATAATGGCAGGGGGTCATGGTCTCGGTCGTCGTCGTCGTCGTCGGATGGATAGAAACTAACAGCAGCAGTAGCGGGCCAACTAGCAGATGTACACAACAACGCTGCTTGGCTATTGCTGCTCGTCGAGGACCTCCTTCGTCTCCTCCGACGTTGCTGCTGCTTTTGCCGTTGCATCTTAGTTAGGCCAAGCAGAGCAGCTCCTCTCGCAACAAGACTCTGAGTAGAGATTTTTTGTGTGAAATTCTAAAAAAGACCAAAATTTGGGCCGCATCTCATTTTTCCAACAACAGTGTCATGTCAAAGGGGACCCAGAAGCAAAATCGGAACTTGCTGCAAGTCCCGTTACGGGTGCCAAAGCAAACGCAACAAAAGCAAGCAAAGATCCCCAGTGACAGAACAGGCTGCAGGCATCCATTCCCCGTCATCCTACCTGATATATAAGAATAGTACAATCCATCCATCCATCCATCCATCCATCTATCCCAACCAAAAGAAAGGAGACAACTATTCGTAACACCATTACCATGAAGAACCCCAAGACTCTCCTGTCGACTCTGATTCTTGCCGCCACCTTGGCGGGTACAACAACGGTCAGTGCACAGTCATCCGAACGGCTGGATGGAGGACGAGACGCGGATCCAGAACAGTACCCGTTCTATGTCTCGCTGGAGCTAGGCTGTGCCGGCACTCTGGTGGCCCCGGATGTCGTCTTGACGTCCTCCCATTGCCTAGCCGATGGCGCCGGTATCAACATGAATGTCACGGTCAAGACGGAAAACTTTCCCGAATTCAACGAATCTCGCAGTATTGTCGGTATTTCCCGTCACCCCAAGTATCTCGAAAACAGTCTGGGATATGATTTGGCGGTGTTATTGTTGAATGCCCCCGTGGACGGGGCCATTCCCGTGGAAATCAACATGAATGCGTCCCTGCCCATGGCGGGAGACAACTTGACCGTCATTGGATTTCCCTCCTACACAATCACCACCATTGGGGTCAACAATACCGTCACGGAAATCCAGTACGAAGTCTTGCAAGAAGGAACCATTGCTGCATTGCCCGATAGTGCCTGTGCCGATGCCTACGGGGATGTCTGGCAAGGGAATTCCACCATGCTGTGTGCTGGAAATGAAGAGGGAGGAAGTGTGTTCAACTGTGCCGATGACCGAGGGAGTCCTCTCTTGGATGACGAAAACCGCATGGTCGGTATTGTCTCGTTGGGAAGTACCTGTGGCAAAAAGGATTTGCCCGGTATATACATGCGGGCATCGGCATTCAACGATTGGATTGAATACCAAATCTGCACTCTGTCGGCGGATCCACCCGCCTTTTGCGAAGCGCTCTTGGAGTATTACTTCCCCTACACGGTCAATTCCAACAATTCCATTCTCGTCACGTTGCCTCCACCCAATAATACCAACACTCCCGCACCGACCGACGCACCCACGGAACCGGCTCCGAAAGAGACGGTTGCCTTGCGACTGGAGATTCATTACGATGCCTATGGCATTGAGAATTCCTGGATGCTGCGAAACAGCGATGAGGACGAGATTATTGATGAAAAGAAATACTACACCGTCGCACCCGCCGGTTTGTCATCGACCCTCTACGAGAATCTCCTTCCCGGGAACTACTCGTTCATCATTCAAGATTATGCAAACGACGGCATCTGCTGTGACTTTGGGGAAGGCTTTGTACGACTCTCACAGGTCTACAATGGCAACGTCAAAACAGATGACCGAGAAATCTGGTATGTGCAGGGGAACTTTGAGGCTCAAGCATCGGTCGAGTTCCCACTGGTTCCCTATGATGTGGGTAGTAATGCCACAACCGGAACGGCCGTTAACAAGAACGAGTCTCCCAATAACTAACTCACTACCGTACTGACTGAAGGATGCCTTCTCTTAGAGGGAAAGGAGAAGGAAAGCAATGGCTCCAGTATAACGAATGTCATGCATGTCATGTATGCATACTTGTAGCTTGTAGAGAAACACACAAATGATATATAGACCACCTCGATCATGTGCATGTATGTAACGAAAAGAACCGAATCCTTCACACACAGCTTCCCTTAGTGCTCTAGCTAGCTAGCTAGTTGTCACCGCCTCTCTCTTCGCCTGAATAGTAGCTAGAAACCACCTTGCATACGCTAACATCCACTCCGCAAACGTCCACTCAAACCAACCAACCAACCAAGGTGCATACTTCGTAACCCGCCCACCGTCACCGACTGCCAAGAGTCTTAGAAGAAGGAAGGATGCGAGACGTCAGAAAGATGAAGGATCCTAGGTTTTCAGATGTTAAAATGCAAGTTATTCCAAAAACCTGGCCGCTTTCTTCTCTCGAATATGTTGAATGCAGCCCAGCCAGCTAGCTAGGAACTCAAGGGGCACGAAACTGTTGGAACGGGAGGTCAGCCTGTCGCACCAAGGAAGGTTCTGTGGAACTCCTGGACAACGCCACAATGTTGCTACTGGGAGCAGATATGATGGCGGTGGACACAAGATATTAAGAGAGTTGCCGGTGGCTGCATTGTTTGTCTAGTTTATATTGCCTTCAACGAAAACAGTGATGGCTGACTTTGTCACCCTCTACTACTAGCTAGTGGCTGCGATCTGAATTGCTGCTGCGGCTACAAGCTAGTTAGATTCATGGCAACCGAAGCAAACTTCAGCAGGACCATACCCATACCGTATGCGCAGAAATAGCTAGCTAGATGCTTCTGGGTGGGGCCAACCAACACCATTTAGATAAAACGGTCCAAACCCCATTTGTGTTTCTGCATATTCAGCTCTGGCTTGTACTTTTCCATTTGTTCAATATCCCAACTCTCATAGGGCAGGCCCTCTTTCTTGAGCACTTCTTCCGCCATTGGACCCCACCAGTCGGCACATCTCACGGGGTGGTTCATACCCAGAGCCAAAGACCGAAGTCGGATACTCATGAACTGAGCCATCACAAAGTTATCGGGCACATCCGTCCACGGGTCTTTTTCTTTGAGTTCATCAACGAATTGTTGCAGATTCTTGCCTCCTGTCACTTCCTTTCCCCACGAGTTGTAGCCAAACTGGATGAGCTTCATTAGAACTTCCTTATTTCCGTACTTGCTCTTGTATCCACCAGTCATTGACATATCAAACAGTACTTCTTCATCGTTCCGATGAATTGCGGCAAACAAAAGGCAAGCCGACAATCGTTCATTTCTAGTCAGACGTTTTGTTGCACCGTAGTCAATCAAGCCGATCCGTCCATCGGGTAGCAGCAGGAAGTTGCCGCCATGGGGATCTATTCAATAGCAGATTGTTGTTTTCGATATTTCGTAATGGAGTTTTCAACCAGAAGGATCAGAACGAAGATTGGCAAATTTGGGTCAGGATCCAGATCCAATGAATCAAAGCATTTTAAAATGAATCAAGCCAAGAAGATACATGTAGACAAGCTGTCTGTACTCACCACCATTGAAAATACCATCCGCCAGCAGTTGGTATCCATGCACCCGCATCATGGTGTCAACAATTCTTGGTATGTTGGGAGGAATCTTCCTTGGATCCGGGCAGTCCATGGGCGCTGTGATCCATCCAAGGCTGCCGTTGTACAGTGCGACACTCGATTTGACCAGCAGATTGTACGCCTGCAAAGCTTTTCGATACATACTAATGGTAAGGGCGGATTCGCCTTCGTACTTGTCGGGAATACCCTCTTCTTCAATTCTGTGCCTTGCTTCCGCTTCCAATGCTTCCAGCGTGGTCCCATTTTGCGTAGCCCAGTCGGCAAAGAAGTCTCTCAATCCATCTCCCAGTTTGGGTCCTTGCAGGTACTCCATGATGAGCATTCGTCTCGTGGTCAATTCCGGAAAGGGTTGCGGGACTACCACTTCCCGGGGCATGAGTCCATGTTTCCTCATGTTGTGGGCGACGTCTTTCAAGTTTTCTGCTTCCAACTGATAGTCCATTTCCAAGGCATTTTGTTTTTCCAACGCACCCAATGTGACCATGTGTTCGGGTGCAAATGAGTTGCAAAAATTTCGAATCGTATGCATGTCCTCTCGAAAGAGCTTTTCGGCATCGTCATATTGGACTTTGACAGCCACGGTGCGACCAGTGCCTTTCAAGACCGCCTTGTGGACTACAAGTATCGTTGATGGAATGATTGAATTCAAAAGCGGATTGTTGGAAGAGCAGAGCAGTGTATGAAAACAAGCAATGAAAATCAGAAAGCAAAGGTACATGTAAGACCCTCAGTGTCAGTTGTTGCATACCGGTAGCAAGGTGGACTTCATGAAAAAACAAATCAAACTGAACTTACCTTGTCCAATGCTGGCAGAGCCCAGTGGCACGGGGTCAAAGTAAGAAAATAAATCTTCCACCTCCTTGCCTGTTTCCTTGCGAATTGTCTCATAAACGGTCTCTACGGGTCGTGGAGGAACCTGATTCTCCAGTTTGCGAAACTCGTGAATCCATACTTCGGAAAACATATTGTGAAATCCAGCCGCCGTTTGACAGTACTTGACGTACGTCCCTTGCATGGATCCCAGCTTGTCCACGGTTCGCTTGGCATAATGGTCGTCGAGAGCCACCCACTCCTCGTCGGAAGTGCCCACTAGCTTGTGCTTGGCTTCCAACAGTCGGTAGTTCATCACCACTGGCACCATGGTCCAGTACACTTTGATCATTCGTTCCGATCCTTCATCCGTTTCGTACAGGTAAAAGCCATAGCCAGTTCCTGCTGCCAATCCAGCACCTGCCACTCGAGTACCTATTTTTGCCGCTGTTCGAAGCATTGTCATTGTTCTTGTTGTCTCATGTACCGGTATTGTGTTTTTACTTTATGAGCTGTTCCTGTCAGTGTGGGTGGTGGTATACCAAGAAATCAGCACCTTGTATGCCTCTATCCTCCGTTGCTCAAACGCACTTTCTACTAGCTAGCACCCTTCCTGTTTGAGAATACAAGGTGATCCTTCACTCTGTCGTTCTCCCGTTCGACCTTTGTGCTTTTTTGGGCTGGCCTGTGATGAATGATGAAGTTGTTGACCTCTGACCTCATCAGATTGATGGTTTGTGCGTCATTTGACGCTGTTCTCGTGGGATTGGGACCAGGACTCACCTCCGATCCAGGGAATTCCCAAGGTGAGATCTTTGTCCCACAACCCAAAAGACGACGACCCCAAAAAGATACCGGCACCGGTACAACCCAATTGGCCGTGGTGATGGCACCAGCAACCCGCAACAGAAAGGCAAAAAGAGCATCCAACGATGTCGCCACAGACCCTGAAGATTCTGGCAACCGGTAGTTTACCGTACCAGGTACCGTAGCTGGCTGGCAGTGAGATCTTCTGCGAAAAGCTTGTTTCACCCCATCCAAGAAGACCTTGCACAAGCTGTCATCATATTCCCGATCACAGCCGGGGTCCATAATCACTGGTACCGGCACGGGGTACAACATGTCTCTATCCACAACCTGCTAATTGCTGTGAACATCTTCCCTAGCTATTACCGGTATAGTAAAGACAATGTTCTACTCCAGAGTAATCTAATGTCCGCACAAGGGTTGAAATCTTGGGTCATGACTTGAGTTTTTGAGATTTGACTCAAGTCAGTACTCAAGTCAACACTCAAGCCAACCACTCCTGTCCACACCACAAACATGGTACAGCTTACCACACTATCCCGGTTGTGCTTTTGGGAGAAACTCAATTTCGCCCTTTTTGGAGATAATTTTAAATTTATCTAAACGAAAATTTGATTTTGCCATGATTTGAACAAGCGACTTGGCAAAAAGGCAGTGACTCAAGTCAACAGTCTAAAAGCAAAATCTTGAGTCATGACTTTATGCTGACATGAGTACTGACTTGAGTCAAATCTCAAAAACTCGAGTCATGACCCAAGATTTTCCATCAAGTCGAGCTTGTGCGGACATACGAATGTGCGGTACCGTACTTGTGAGTCTTTCGCGTCGAGTTAAAAGTGTTGTCATCCAGTCGTGGATACCTTTAACTCTTTTGTCGTGGCTATCGAATGATTCGATTCGATTCGATTGAAGATTCGATTCGACTCAGTTCGAATCGATTCGATTCATCATTCGATTCGATTCGATTCTTCGCAAATCATTCAATTCGTGAGGTCACCTCACGATTTAAACATAGAAGGGGGTCTGGGGGTGGCTCGTGCAATTTACTTTGGCTCTTTTGAATAGGGGCAAAGAGTACAAAAGCTGATTCTGCAATTAAGAGGCCTTCTTGAAGTGCTTTTGGTGTGTTAAAGCATGCACTAGTAATTAGTAAGGATTGGTTCAAAGGAAATCCTTTCACGTACTTTAAACCATCACTTCTGGTTATGGTTTGAAGTGTACCAAGAGGGCTAGATGATTTAACACCAGATTCATAAAAAGCTAGTAAGACATTTTACAAAACTTCAATGAATTCCTAGGAATGCCCTCCAGAGGATTACGGTGGAATCTACGATTATTTGGCAAGCTGGCTGTGCATGTACAGTTGTAGAGGATGTGGTAGAACATACCAATCAACCAATCAACTGCTCCAAGCTGAGAGCTTCAGGCTGGGACAACAGCTACAAGCTACAGCTACAGGCTTAGACAACAGCTACAGCTACAGGCTGAGATAACCGCTTCAGGCTGGGACAACCACCACAGGCTACGACAACAGCTATAAGTTGGGACAACAGCTATAGCTCCAGGCTGGGATAACCGCTTCACACTGGGACAACCACTACAGGCTGGGACAACCACTACAAAGCTGGTGGGATACAACAGCTACAAGCTGGGACAATAGCTCCAGGCTGGGATAACCACTTCAGGCTGGGACAACAGCTCCAGGCTGGGGCACAAGCTGGGACAACAGCACAGCTCCATGCTGGGATAACAGCTACAGGCTGGGACAACAGCTACAGGCTGAGACGACAGCTCCCACCTGTCACCCTATGTGTACCACGCCAGAGAGGTGCTGGCCCTCATTTTTTGCCAAGTTGGATTTCCTGTTGCTCATAGAGAGTTAAAATATCCAGTACATTCTCGAATAAAGCAGTGGGTATTGTGACAAATAACTGGCTTCCAGTCGATTCTTGATCAAATGATTTTATAATTCCATCAGGCATTTGCTGTATCTCTCTGCGTATGAAGCCATTTGTTGGAAGCACCATTGGTACGATTCCCAGCCCTTTCGTCATGATCACGGAGCATGACAGGCGGTACTTCATTCCTTGGTGCTTTTTCATGCTGAGACGGTGGAGACGGTTGTGCTTCGTGGATGCCATTATTCGTCTCTTCTTGTACTGAATTCACTGGTATTGGCTCATATGGGCTCGTTGGGTCGGCTGTTGGCTGGCCAATTTAGGGCTGGCACTCTTCGTAGCCTTGTTCTTTGTCAGCTTCAGGCTGGGACAACAGCTTCAGGCTGGGACAACAGCTTCAGGCTGGGACCATAGCTTCAGGCTGGGACAACAGCTTCAGCCGATTCTTCACCGCATGATCAATTCCATCAGATAATTCCTGTATGTAGCCCTTATCTGAGCTTATTGTTGTCGTCCATGCATCCCTCCCTTTTCATCAGCCATAGCGGCTTCTTGTTGGCATAGACTATGGTCTCAGTTCCAACCATTTTGACTTCGTTTTCACCGATCCTGACACAGTCCCCGCGCCTACAAAACGCAGTTTCCGTCACCAGTCCTCGGTTACTCATCCTGTACCAGTAGCCTTCTCTGATCCCTGCTATGCTTCTAGATTGGTTGATTTGAGACAGGGATTACTAGTAGTAACACCACTTCAAAGCTTTTTTTTAAAACATACCACCAATGACAGCATCAGTAGCATCGAGTAAAGGACTGGCTGTGATGCAGTCAAGTAAAGCACTGGCTGTGATGCAGTCGAGTAAAGCACTGGCTGTGATGCACTGAAGAGTAAAGCACTCACTCATCACTCATGATCTTTTGATAGCCAACGGTGCGTCAAAAGATCCAGGTTTGCCTCAGACCGAACCTTCCTGCCCTAATCGTGAATGAGTGAGCTGCGGAGAATAGAAACCGACCGCCACTCCGCAGCCTCCGCAGCCTCCCAACACCACGGAAGGAAACACCGCTATAGCTAGCTTTAGCGCCGACTAGACAGCAAGCAATCAGGCAACACTACCGGTAACCAAGAAGGCAGTGTTGTCGCGTGTTCTGGTATGTTGTCGGGTCTAGAGTTGATACTCATCAGTGGCTCAGTCTCATCTCGTCATGTGTCGTTTTCCATCTGGCAGAATCTGTCATCCCAATTTGGAGGTGGAAAAATGGAATGTCAGCATGATGAGCTCACTTTTTTGTTCAACCGGATTGCTAGAGTTGCATACCCAACCGAACAAGGAAGACTTTCGCGATTGTTGATAAGCCTAGGCCAGATCAACCCCCTACTTTCAATTACCTTTTCTACCAATCTTCTATTCAATACCTATCAATTGCAAAATGAAGTTCTCTTCTTCTATCATCAAGCTGCTCTCGTGGTCATGGACCACCGACAACAACAGCAACACCACGAAGACCCCCGTTCTCCAGGTCGCCAAGGAGATGACGGGCAACAACAACAACAAGGACGTTCCTGTGGCAGAGGAAGTCCCAACATTCCAACTGGACGAGTTGGACAAGTCGGCCTTCCAAACCGCGGCACTGTTGCACGGAGAGCATCCTGATGTGGAATTCCAGCAGCACAGTCGCTACATTGGTGCCTACGACCTTTCCCTGGTTCCTGTGGATTAGCATGGTCACTACGGATACGACAAATACAACCAGCACCGGCCCAAAGGCTGTCGCATCCAACCCAGTCAATTTGCCAACGCTCGCTGGAAGACCCATTACGGTCAAGACACCGAACGGAGCAATGGAAACCGTTTATCCTTTGCTCCCGTCAACACTGTAGTGGGGTACTCTTCTGACGAGAGCGAACAAGCTGAGACACGAAAACATGTGCCACAGGCCCGACACGAATTCTGGCTCGAAGCCCAACAACAATTCATTTCCTTGGCACACCCACACCCCACGAACGCGTCTTGGATCTCGTGCAGTTGATTCAAGAGTACGGATACCAACAAGTGGCCAAATGGATCACCAACAACAAATGGTTCCAAAGCGACAAAGCATACCTAAAACAAGCCAAACTGTACATTCAAATTGATGCCGTGCATCAAGACCTCGAGGCACTTGTCAAATTCATCCAGGGGAAGAAAGGAAATGACAAGCAAGTTGCCCACTGGTTCATGGTCAACGAAAAGAACACTCACATGTTCGACCTTGCCATGTGCCACTTGCACCACGGAGGAATTCAGCGCAATGCCGACGATGAAATTTGCACCTTGAATACGCGAGAAGAGATCGCCAATCGACGATTTGTCTATCGCAAGGTCAAGGATGTCTGCATGGAAGATGCAGCAGACGTAGTAGTAGAACAACAACCAACAACAACTAAAGACATCGAGACAATAGAAAAAGCCTCAACCGTCGACGACAAGATGGCATCCGATGCCACAATCACATTCGAAGCAGCTGTGGTTCCAACATGCACAGCAGTGGTACCATACATTCAAATGTGGCATGTGAAACACTTCAAGATCAGTGTGCATGGACAACAACCATTTGTATTGGAGATGCGAATGATGAATGGTGTGCTACTTGGAGTGGTACCCAACGACATGCTCGCAGCATTGATGAAGGATGGTGGAGACCTTGTCAAGGAATTGATGCGGCGGCACAAGACACTACGATTGGAGGCAGGCGTTGCCTCGGACGATACGGATTTCGAATTCGTGACTGGCCAAGTGGTAGCTGAAGAACCACTGGTGGAGGAACAACAGCAAGTTGATGCTGATGAACCACTGGTCGACAACCGAGTCGATGAGGAGGACAAAAAGGACACAGCACAATCAACTTTGCGACGATCAAAGAGACGCATGGTGGCGATTGCATCTCAGAGAATTGCAGAACAAATGAGGACAAAGCCACGGCGGGTGGCAGAACAACAACCTAGAATTAATAAACGTAGACGCGCGGCGGCCACCAAGAAAAAGTCGACAAAGCCAAAGACGAAGGGCAAGGCGACGACAGAGCCAAATTCCACAAAGCCAAATGCGAAGGGCAAGATGACGACGACAAGACCTGTGACGGACGCACAGCAGCAAACAACAGTTCAGACAACAACAACGCTTTCTGGACGGCGAGTAAGAAAGCCTGACCGGTACATTCCAGTCTAGGACAACAGGGCAAGTGAGCGGGCGATGGCGACAGGCAACGACGACAGGCAACAGGTAAGTTGTGGGGCGATGGCAACGGATTGCGGGGACTACTAACACATGAATACAATGCACAAAGAGCAAGCATCATCTGGTGGGGTGCAGGGCTATACAACAATTTTCTTTTACATACGCGGAGATGAATACAGTTGGTTCACTTGAAGGGTCACATAGAAGGTAGCCAGGTTTGTGGTTCCTGTGCTAGGCAGCCTCTATTGCAGAGTGCTTGTCCGAACGTCCTCCACGCGACGAAAGTCCAAAGTTAATACCCGTGACACCTGACAACCAACCTCTATCATTGTTGATGCTATGCTACAATCTTAAACCCAACCAAAAACATAGACATTAAACAATAACACATAGTAGACAATCTTTACAAACAAAAATCATGGCTTCATTCTATAGTAGTTTTAGTTGTACTAGCTAGTGGTAGTTTCATAATCATGGTGGCATCCATTGTGGGGCAAGCTCTGGCATGTAAGCCGTGGTAAGCCGTGGTGGCACCAAAAGGTTACGATGGGCGGGAGTCGGAGCGTCTGCTGTCGAAAAGTTGCTTCACCCCAAAAAGACCTTCCACATGCTGCCATCATTCCTATCCCGTGCACAGTCGGGGTCCATAACTACCGGTACCGGTTCGGGGTACAAAACTATCTCTATCGACAACCTAACTACCCGTACTCGTTGGTGTGTCCGTCTTCCCTAGTGAATTATGTAGTGCAAAAAATGAATCTGCTTTGTGCTTGGCTAGTAGTAAAAATGCATGAGGGCTCGGCAGAGCAGAGGGCTCAATCATGGCGTTGCATAGAAAAAGCCCGTGTAGTTTCCAAACGAGTAGAACACACGGTCGTATCCAAATTGCCACAACGGGTCATTGCTGGGCACTACGTTGTCATCATTGCAAACTTCGCTATCGGAGCAGCACTGTTTGCAACAGTCGCATACCACTTCGGGTGTGGTTCCGGCACAATCAGCCACCATGATGGGCGTGAACCTTCCACCTCGATTGCAAATCATTTCCATGTTTCCTTGAAGCCCATTGTTGTCAATGTACAAAACACCTGCACGGCCGAGAAAAGTGAGTACAAACAGCAGAAAGCAACAATCAAGGTGAGGAGCCCACCTAAACGCAATCCATAATCAAGATATTTCATGTCGAGCAATTGCCTACTCTCTTTTCTTCCAACTTACGCAACATGCTCAAATCGCCCAACTCCACCGGGACCTGTTCAGTCAGTTCGTTTCGGTTCAACAACAAGAACTGGAGTCTTTTCAAGTTGCCAATCGAAGAGGGGATACTCCCTCGCAGATTGTTGTCGTCCAAATCGAGCAGAATCATGCCACTGAGTTCTCCAATCCATGTGGGGATGGTTCCATCCAATTGCAGCGCTTTGAGGGACAATTCTTGCAACTTGGTCATGTCGCGAATCCAATCGGGAATGGGGCCCGCCGGAAAGTTGTTGGCTGCCAAATAGAGATAGGTCAGATGCTTTAGGGAAGGCAATCCAAAACCCGTTTGAGGATTGACCGTGTATCCCGTCAATCGATTGTTGGAGACATCCAAATGATTCAAGAATTGGAGGTTTCCGATGGATTCCCCAATCTTGCCAGAGAGGTCATTCTTGTGTAACGCCAAGAAGCGCAACGCCGTGTTGGAGGGGATCCCTGCTGGAATGGAGCCCGTGAAGGAATTGTCATGTAAATCGATTACTTGCAAGGCACTGGAAACCAACAGCAGCGTGAGACCAAAAAATATAATCGGCCAAATAAAATGCACGGGTCGCTATTGTCACTCACCTGAGCGAAAACAGATTGGGCGGAATGGCTCCCCGGAACTGATTGTCTGAGATATCGAATACTTTCAAACTGGGCAATCGTGTAATCATGGTTTCCTCGAGATACCCGTCAAATGCATTCTGTTCCAAAAAGAGATATTCCACCTGTGGCTGCTGCCAGAATCCCGGATATCCCGTAAAGAGATTATGATCTACGGCCACTCCCTTGAGTTCTGTCAATGTCCCCAAGGAGGGCGGGAGCGTTCCATCCATTTCGTTGAAGGAAACATCAATGGAGACGAGGCTCTTGTAGTTTCCCATAAATGCCGGCAAGGTGCCCTTCATTTCATTGTGTGAGAGATGTAGATTTTCCAAGTTGGTGAGAGTATGAAAGGAATCTGGGATGGATCCCGAGATGGAGTTGACATCCATTTCAATGATTCGCAACGTGGTGAGTTTGGAGAGTTCCGACGGGAAAGTGCCCTTGACCGTGGCGCCGACTGTGCAAGTAGAGAAGAAAGGGAACAAGAACAAGAATGAGAAAGATCTTGCGCACAGATCTTGCTGGATTGACAAGATTGCAGAATAAAACTCACCAAATACCAGTGCCGAGATGAGTCCATTATTGTTGCAGATCATTCCCATGGGGATGGTATTTTGTGGCCTGACCACCCAACTATTCCAACCACAAGTATTTTCGGCCTTTAAAAAGTTGAGTTCGTACTTCCAATGCTTGCCCCCCATTTGATAATAGAACAATGCCATGATGTATCGTTGAATAAAGTCATATCCTTCCTTGGATGCCGGCGATCCTTCGGGAATGGTCCGAGAATGAGCATCACCGTGGGCCATCCACGTGGCTGCCACATTTTGAAAGGTTCCATCTCGTCGCAATTGCTCCATTTGCGAGACATTATGTTGACTCAAATAGTTGACGACGGAATCGAATGCCTCATCGCCGTCCATGTTGCGCAAATCGTTGGCGGCGGCGGCTTGGTTTTTGCTGACCACGACCACAATAATGACCACGGCCAAGACGACCAAAAAGGGCAAGGTGTAGAGGGCGCACATGGCGACGAATTTGGGACGTTTGCTGTCTTCCGACTCGGATTTTCCCGTAAGTTCGGCGACGGTCGGTACGGACTGTTCAATGTCCATGCTCGATTCGACTGGTGCGCCCGTGGTGCCAATGGTACTGTCATCGATGTCCGTCTGAACAGTGCTACCGCTGCTACCCACATTGGGGAGTTCAATGTTGTTGTTGGGTTCCATCATCTTGTCTTGTCGTTATTGTAAAGCTTGCTTTGTCGAAAGATAATGGGCCTGATTCTTCTACTATTCTTCTTCGGAATTTGCTCAAGCAATTTGGTAAGACCAACAAACAACCTCCTCAATGCCAATTTCCTTGTCTGCTTGGATACTCTTCGCTCAAACGTATGATCCCACTGGGTAGTGGAGATATTGGATCCTATGCCTGCAACCGGTACAGTGCTGCCAGGTCTTCAATTGGATGGCACAGCAGCAACAACGATAATGACAACTCGATTGCTTTTTTCTTCTTTGCTTCGATGACGAAAGAAAGAAGCACCCAGCAAGAATTTTTGGTGAGTGTTTTATTCCTGTGCTGGAGTTAGAAATCCCGGATCAGTACCGGATGTCTGCGTGGTAGCCGTTAGAAAAGCTAGCAAAGCTGCTGTCTTCAAAAAGATCCAAAAGATCTTTGGGGGGAGTGCCTCAAAACAAAACAACGGCAACCCCAACGCAGTCCATCCACCCACCATGACATCGAAAGGTACCACCAGTCCATCCACCACAAGCCTCCAAGATCAGGAGCCCCTCGAAACCCCGGAAGAGGCATTCTCTCGTTGGTAAGGAATGGTTCAATCGTTGTGTTTGACAGAGAACTGTGTGTCAAAAGCCCTTCTGCTGACCTGGCTCGTCTTTTTCTCTCGATCGATCCATCTCCACAAGCCTGCTGTCTCAATATCGATTCTGTATGGGTGGTGTTGGGCTCGGAACCGCATATGCCGTACAAACAAAGGGAACCAAGGGATATGGACTGTAAGTACACACTACATTCTCCGGCTTGCTTCCTCGATCCTGTTTTTCTGCTCTAACGCGCCACATTCATCATGGCACTGTGATTTATTAAATTTATTGGTGTTTTTAGGTTACCCATGGTAATAGGCGGAGTCGCAGGAAGTGCAGCCGATTTGGTCTACGGATATACGGTTGCCTGTCTACCGGAACGGGAACGATACGAACAATCTCGAGCCGAAAAAGATCCACAGCAACCAAAGTAAACCACAGCAACCACCAAAATAGAAAAGTAAGGAAAACGTTGCTTTCATTGCAGTGTAGAGGAATCTAGCTAGAATCGCTGTAATGTAGAAAGAAAAACAGTATTCTATAGCTTTTTACCGCCAACTCCGCAATAATCCCTTGGACAACTTGGCCAATGCATAACTGGCACTTTTTGTAATACCTGCCGTCCAGAGACCTTTGAAAGCTTGATAGCGAGCGGCAGGGGCGACTATGGAATGCAGTTCATTCTGTAGCAGACGGGTTGTTGTTGTTGTTGTTGCATGAGATGATGACGATTGAGACTTTGGTTCCAAGTGCCGTGCCAAACGAGGAGGGAGTCGTTGCCGCAACTCGGCAATAGTGGAAGGATCCTGTGGATTCCAAGTGATTGTTGTTGCTGCTGCTGCTGCTGCGGTGTCGCCAATATTACTATTTGTTTCCAGTGAGACAACACCACTTTCCACCAGAGGCTGCAATGCCGTGGCATGATACATTTGGTGAAAGCGTTGCAGTTGTCCCGGCGAGTGGACCAACTTGTCAATTTTGGCGGGATCCTCGGCTCCCACTTGCATGCGAAAGTCACCCGTATAACTCAAGGAAGATATCTGACTGTACAGAGCGGAGAGTGGTATCTCCGTCGTGGCGTCGGTATCATCTTGTCGTCCCAAGAGTAACAATGCAGTGGACAGGGCGGCTGGTAGATTGTAGCGGTTTTGATAGTCTTGAAGCATCATCAGCCCGTCGTCGGATGATGATGATGATTGTAGTATGGTAGCCGTCGGTTTTTGCATTCGTCCGGCTATGTACAAGGAATCCCAAAACTGCAAATCCGAGCACAAATGTTGCCGTTCCATAATGCCGTACTTTAGTAACAAGGGATCTTGGCAAAAGTTGAAAAAGACTTTGGGGTTGGACAAAAGCCAAGGAAAGGGAGCTTGGTGCGTTTGCCACCAAGCCGCTCGCGATGGAGTGCGAAAGAGAGGAGCATAATGATGGGGATTCTCCTCAATGTTGATGGAATGGAATTGCAGGGCGTCCTGGACAATAATAATCATATCCAGCATCTTTTGTTCGGTGGCGGATTGCTCTGCTTCATCATTCTTGCTACTATCTGTCTGAGCAAAGACACCCGAACCATATCCAAAAGCATAGACAATCTCTTCTTGTTGACGAGGAGAAAAGGTCGAATGGAAGACCTCTAAGAGTTCCTCGGAGGAAGCCAACTGACCCTCGTCGTGATGCTTGGCCTCATCAGAGGAATTTGACGGCGACTCTGACAGCGAATCTTTGATCATTTTTTTAGCTACCCAGCTAGTTGGCATCAGCTTTGGATTCTACCGTACCGATGCTGCTATAATGATGGGCTCTTCCTGTCTTATTAGGTGCTCTGATGACACTTAAAATGAGTGGGATTGTGCCCTTGATGACGACGACTGCCATGCATTTGCCGTGGCCATGTCGTGGCAAGGATTTGGCAAAAAAGGAAGAAAGATCCGTGAAATTTCAAAGCAAAATGATTTTTTCTATTTCCACTCCTTTCGTTGTCTGAACCGGAGGCGGGCCAGAAACAAAAGGCTCCGCCATCCCTCTCTTTGCATCGAATCGAATCATGCCGCTTGGTGCACACAAGCGCAGGCCTCTCACAAGTGTGATCACACTGTTTCACAAAGCGAAATGGCTTTTCTAGCTAGCTAGCTAGCTAGCATTAGTGTATGCACTTCCATACGGTTGGGTTGCTAAAGTTTGCTTTGGGTGTGCAGCTCAGGATGCTGCCGGTCAGTGCTCCAAGCACGGACAAGTCTAATCGCAGGGTCTGGCTACTAGCTACCGGTAGGTGGCAACTAGGTGCAGTAGTTGGCTTGGTCTCAACTTACTCCAGTTTGGGCAGTTCTACGTGTTCAAATAAGAGGCGGTGCTTCTCGAGCAGTTTCAAGAACTCATGCTCACCAACCATACCATTGTCCTCTTCATCCAGTTCATTCACCAAATCTCCAATGTCATCCACTGTGAACCCCACATTGAAATGGTCCACCACATCTTTGAATTCACCCAAGGTGATCTGGCCATTGCCGTCAGCGTCAATGAGATGGAACATCTGCAAACAGAATGCAGGAGTTAGAACAACCAACCAACGAATCAAGGGTATATGTACAGCCAGCACCAACTTACATCCTTGGCAAGTTGCTTGAGCTCTTCGTGGTCTAGTTCTACGCGGACATAGTTCTTGTAGAATTGAGTAAACTCGTATCGACAAATGCTTCCATCTCCATTTTCATCCAAGATGGCAGTCATGGCTTTCAGGCTTTCCTCAGTGGCAGCCACTCCAAGTCCCTTCAAAACAGCACCAAAATCTGAGGTTTCAATGAGTCCACTCCTGGAAACATCAATGGCATCAAATGTTTGTCCAATTTCGTCCATTTCCACAGAGGAGAACATACTGGATCTTCTTCTGCCAGTGCTAGTGCTAATTCCTCCAGCAGTCCTGTTTGATTCATCACCCATTTGGATTGGCGCCTCAAATTGTATTCCAACCTCTTCCAAATCCAAACAAGAGTCCGGTGGTGCTGTCACAACGGTACTGTCTGGTGAGTCCTTGTTGTTTTCTGCTGAATCATGAAAACCAACACCTTCAGAGGCAAATTGTTGAAGCCTTAGCATAGTGACCATTGCTCGAATAATTTGAGACACTTTTTCTTCACGAATGACTTGGGAAATCACGCCTGGGCGCCGGTGTTCTCCAATGCTACAGGCCATTGTGAGGTTGGCAGCCGCCATTTGATACTTGCCCAGGAGGAGGCAAACGGGCAGGATGGATAGGACCAAGAAGGCCATTCTCTCAGGCAATGACTGCTCAGTTTCAACAAACATGTATGGAAACATGATCAGCACCAATAGTGACACATAGGCAGCTGTGAATACCATCTGAACCTGGAAGATGATCATGTAAAGTTTTGGGCCTTTCCGTTCCATCCAATAAAGGACATCCTGTCTTGTGACTTTCGAATTGGTGGGAAGGAAGAGGCGAGCGAGCAACCCACGCCCAGTCCGTATGTATTCCTCCAAGTCAATGCGGGTCCAATACGGCAAGGAAGGAGACCTGGGCATCAAGGAAACCCGCTCCCCATCATGGAGTTCTCCAATGTCACCAAGCTTGGCTGCCATTCCTTCCAAGATCTTGAACAAGTGAAAATCAAAGTAGGAGCCCAGCAGAAAGAAGAGCCAGCCTGTGCAAACCCATATCCAGACAAATGACTTGAAATGGAACCACTGTGGTGAGACCTGGCCAAGAAGACAAACAGAAAGCAGAACGTCCAAGCCCTGGATAACCCGCTCCTTACCTCCAGTCGATTCTCCACAAACAGTGCAATCACATAAAACACAGCTGTGACACCACCCAAGAAGATCCATGTTGGGATTTTTAGGTGGACAATATGTCCCAGCTCATGGCACAGACAAATGCTCAGGTATCTGCCAAAGTCAAACTCATCGGGGACACAGTTCTGATCATGAGGGAGGAAGGGTGGATCCAGGCTTCTTTCCACCACAAATTCATGCCTGAGACCACGGAATAATCCCAGCTCGGACCGAAGCGATCTTTTTGATGAGCGAAATGGAAGCAGTTCTTGGCAGAGGTATCTGAGGTAGGTGGTTTCTTCTTCGGCTGCAGTATGTAATGCCAAGATGGCATTCATCTCGGCCATGTACTTGTCATCCCGGCAAGCTCTGTTGTAGATCCACCAAGTCCGTTTCATGGCAGTTGCACCTCGCACAAGAACCAGTACATTGATGACAAAGAACACCATGACAAAGAAAACCATGTAGTGGACCATCTCAAATACTTCAAGCAACTCTTCTTTTTCTTCCTCTCCAAATATTTTCTCGGACAGTTGGTTGAACCATCCAAGCTTGGTCACAAAAAATGTACAAACTGAAAGAAAGCCGAGGACAGTTAATTCACCAAACAGACCTTCGATCACAGGTTCCATCACCCGATCAACAGCTTCCTCAATGGTCTCCTTGACTGTTTCAAACATTATGGTCAAACTGATCAAGAACAAGACAATCACCGTCACAGTTGTATCCAACGCAGTAGCCTCTTGTGTCTCCTCATGATGGCTCTCCGACGAGACAGAGGAAGCTTCTTCCAAGAGGAGTTCTTTTGACTCCGTCAATCGTCCACGAGACTGGGAATCCTCATGCCCCGAGGAGTGGACGAAAACCGCTACGAGGTATCCAAGAAGACCTCCCAGAAGCAACGTCTTCCACGGCGAGAGCGTCGCCACATGATGGGTGGGCTTTGTCATGGTCCGACCTGAGAAAAGGGCAAGAAACAGTTTCAGTTTGAGAAAGTGGCTGCTCAGCAGTTCTGCTTGAAAGAATCGAATCCTTTCCTCATGCGGCGCCTGCACGCAATGTTCGAATTCTGGTGTGGTCGCTCGATCATCGATGCATGTCCCGGTGGCATTGCACCTGGCAGTGCTTCAACCCTCCAAGCCCACTGCACAAGCCTCAAAAAATCGATGGCGCATTGTTTGCTTCCGGGTCGGTCGCCACGTAGTGGCTTTGAGGCGACGTGGAGACACATTACGTCAGATGGTAGGATTTAACAACATGTACCGGTGGCAGTACAGCTGTCTATTTATACAGTCGTACTGTACCGTACGGTACCGGCCAATACCAGTACCGGTACCCGGGACAGTTGACCTTGTGACCTTGCATCAATTCACCTTCCAAACTTACCAGTTTTAACCCCATTTTTGCGACAATTTCTGGCCTGCGCGATAAAATCAAGGGTTAGAGGGAGAAGTTGGAACAAAAAATTGCAGAATTAGGGTTCTCAAAAACCGGTATCACTCTCACCTAAACCCAACAGCAGTTCTCGCTTGTTGTAGGCAACTGGCAATGAAGATGAAGCCAACCACACTATTGTCGAAGCGATAGCAACACTGTCAACCATGCCGAATGCCTCTATTGTTAACGCTGCAGCCCTTTTTTGGATTGTCAGTGAAATAGATTTTTGTCACTCAGCCGCTTCCACTGTCACTCTCTGCCTCCAAACCATCGTCGGCACCATCGTCGGCGGTTCTGTCGGTTGTTTCTGCAGTCGCTGATGTTTCGTCTTCCTCCAGTAGTTGCATAAAAGACTCTCTTTCCTCTGCTGACATCCCTCTCACAACTGTCATGGCGTCCTGCTGCATCCGCTGCCGCTGCCTTCCAAGCTCAGTTTCTTCGATCGAAACATTTTCAATACAGTCACGCAGTCGACTCAGCTCTGCATCATCCTGCTGTGTCCATCGGACGACTGGAGCAACAACATTGTTCTTGACCTTTTCCCACATTGCCACCCTTTGTGCCACCGTGGATATTTTGGACGGACAAGGTCGGCCAAGCTTCCACGCGATGAGAGTCTTCAGCTCTTTGCCATTAAAAGAACTGCCACTGTGTTCTCTTGCCTGCATCAACACCATAGCCGCATCCTCCCTCTCGGCGTCTTCTGTCCTCTTCTTTTTGACTGCCTCGAGGCTGCTCAGCTCGGACTCCTTGGCGGCTCTCTGCACAGAAATGAAATAATCGTCTTCATTCAAGGCAGCTCCTCCGGTCAACTGGAAGTGTTGCCCACCACCAACCTTCACTTGTGCAATTGCATCTTGCCTTGCTCTGGATCTTGGCTTGAGAATAGCATCCTGTCGCTTTTTCTGACTGTATGATGTGAGCTTCATGCGGAGTGGCTCAGAATTGTAGCCATGAGTGGTCAACAAGGAGCAAGACATTGCATTCAGATCGTTCAGACCTTTCAAATACTCTGCCTCTGGATCGGCCTCAGTGTGGGCTCCTCCGGCCTCATCAACAACTGCTTCATGCCGGATGTGTCTGCTTTTGAGGGCGGCTCTTGTAAACTGTGGATAAACTCCAAGCTTGTTCTTCCAACAATGTTGGATCCTCTCAGGAGAGAATCCCTCCGCAGCTGCATTTCGAAGAAGTGGCAGTTGTGGATCTTCGATGCGCTTTCTGCTGTGCTCGCTGCCAAAAACGAGAAGACCAATATCATGTCTTGTTAGATTTGACTTGCCGATCCGATGTTGGTTGGTCAATCGGTATTCATAGAGGATCTCCAAGTTGCTGAAGTAGACGGTTTTGAAGCGTCCAAAGAGCATATCCATGATCTGTTTTGGTGGACGCAGCCAACAATCAACCACATGAGCCGACAGCGTCAATACAACAACAAACAGAGTGACGTGCTTACCTGCAAGATATGTGTTGTACTTGGTGGTCCCGACGGGAACAGATACATCCCTTTTGCTCTTAGCTGTGCGAGCATCTCCGTGTTTGTTCTTCCGGGCCCTCCATCAACCAGAAGACACACTCGCTTTCCAGGTTTGTCACTGCAGTCATCAGCAACCAGCGGCAGAACATTCTTCAACATGTACTCACCAAACTGCTCTTTATTCATTCCACCTTTCTCATTAACACCATACGTACAAGAGTAGTCCTTTGGCTCATTCGAAAGATAAGTTGCCTCCGTCACAAGCATATCCTCAATGAAATCAAGTGGGATTCCTTGGTTTTCTTCCTTGGCATCGCTTGGAATCTGGAAGTGGTGTGGAAAGGGCTCCCCAGAAGCAAAGCATCCGGCAAGCAGAGTGCAGGAATAGCTGCTCTTGTGAGCTGACTGCGTTGCTCCAGCCGAGATTCTTGATGAGTAGAAGCCAGCTGCCGGTCGTCCACCTTTTCCATTGTTTGTGTCATCAAGAGTGAGAGGGGATTCATCGATGTTGGCAATGCGTCTGCCTTGGTCCTCACCAAAGATGAGCTCTCCGGTCTCTTCCCATTGGCTCTCTGGAGCTTCCACAGCAAATCCTTGTTCGACAAGGAAATCCTTGAATGCTGAGAACCATTGATTAATATTGCTATAGGTTCCCCACTTCCTTCTTCTTTGTTCGATTCTGTTTGGTTTGCTCAGATCAATCTCACCAGCTACATCCCTCTGAATCCTTTCGAACAGCTTTCGACCTATTCGATTTTCGCCTTCTTTGCTGTTGACAACTGCGTTAACCTTTCGTGCGAGTCCAGGTCTTGTATTGGATGAGATCGTTCCGTCCTGTTGAGCGAGGATGGCATATGACTTGACAGCTCCACAAAGAGCACCATAGACATCCGGAGGAATTCGACCTTTGTTGCCACGGCGATTGATGGGCTGTCCCATTCTGCCATCTCTGACGTATTCCCTTACAGTTCTTGCCACAATTCGAGCACCATCTAATTGCTGTCCGTACTTCTGATTGATATCTCCACAAATAACTTCGGCAGATTTGAAATCATCAAGTTTCTCACCGTTCTCTTTCGCAGCTGCCTTCCTGTCGCACTCGGCCTTGAACTCGTTGCATGCTTGTTTGAAGAGATTGTCCCGTACTTCCTTCAGCTCGGCTTGCCTCTTTCTGCCACCGTGGGCTTGCTTGATTGTCAATCGCATTTTCCCCTTCGGTTTGGTTGGAGGACCAGCGTGAATGGATGGTACGGGTAGGAAAGCTGCCTGTGGTTGTGGCTGAGTCACAGCTGTTGAGTTGTTTGAAGCTGTTGTCTTGCTACCTTCTGCCTGCTGTTGGATTGAGTCTCTAGCCCGATAGATGCTGCGCTTGAGAGCCTCATCGTCCATTTCACTTTCGTCGAACCCAGCAAATTCCATAGCTTGATTGACCGTCATTGCGTTTCCTTGCTTGCTCAGTTTCAGAAACATTCCAGCCCGATGAATAGCATCGTCGTCCTTCCTCCTCTTGTAGCGCTTTGTCGCCATCTTTGGGTTGCTCAGCGTGGAGTGAAACTGTTGTCGCTTTGGATTGTGCGCTTTTCAGTTCGATCTTTCAGAACGAGGGATTGGACTGGCAGGCGTTCAGCGGTGGCTTCTAAATCTACATGTGCCGTCTCTTAAATCTGAGAAAGCACTGCCAGCGTTTGACCTCCGGAATGGTTGTCGTGCCGACAGTCACACAACAGAAAAAGCAACGCAATGATGCGAGGCCGTCCGAAAGAATTGGCCGAACGGCTACAACAAGGGTATCATAAGGCAATAACACCGCCCTACTATTTGATTATCCTACTAATACTACTGTTTGTGAGAGCAAATTGTTGGTGGGGGAGCTTTCAACGGGGCGAATTGGTTCCAGCAAAGACAAGGGCCTCCGTAAAGACCTCAGCAGCGGAGCGACTTTCTTCATCATCAAATGGCAATGTGACAACAATCTTGTCGAATCCCTCCGCATTTCCAGCCGGGAAGGTCACGGTCGTTTTGAATGCCTTGACACCAGAGTTTGCACCGATGACTTTGCGAGGCTTCTGCACTTTCCAAGAAACACAATCAGTCGGGAGATTGAGCACTCCAGTGTTGCGGTTGTCCTTGTTCAGATTGACAATCCGGAAAAGAGGGAAAGCACCATACTGCTGCAAAGCTAGAGCTCCACGAAACTCATGAATAACAGCACCAGCATCCTGGATCTCCACTCCACCATTTGAAGACGCCAACTCAACTCGGTAGTTTGGGCAGCTTGCCGCCAAGTTCCTCCACGAGATGCTACCGGTAGACATGACTGTTGTTTATTGTTGGCTTGTTGAGGGGTAGAGTCGGAAGACTTCGATGTGGTTAATGTCCGAAGGCTTCGATAGTAGCCGCGATTTGAATGCCTCAAATTGCGCGGCTAGTTTGAATTCAAATCGAGGCTTTCAAGCAAAGCCTCTCCGAGACGGAGACAACTCCTCGCCCACACTCCTCTCCCTCTCTCACACAATCTTCATCGGAAAGCAAATTCAACCACAATCCACTCGCCTACAACTCTATCATGTCGCGCCCCAAGCCCAAGTACATCCCATTTACCAACGAAGAAATGATCTGCAGCATTTTCGTCGGCACGACGAAAGATGAACCTGCAATCGGCACCGTCGTCAACAACACCAAGATTCTTTCCGAGGAAACTCAACTGAAGCTCCAAGACTCTATTGATGAAGCCCTTTACGGAGCCGACAAGGATGCCACATTTTGTGTCACTCTTGGCAGCAACATTGTGTGGCCGAAAGAGGCTTTCTGGGACTTTGTTCTCTTCCTCGACAACCACGGAGATGTGAAGCGTATCACTTGTGTCTCCAACAGCTGCATTGTGCTCCTCACAGACAAGAGCTTCACCATCACGCTTCTCATCTCCGGCAACAACTTCGACATCAGCCCACCCAAAGAGAAGACCAAGATCAGAGACAGCATCGACAGCTTCGAAGTTGAGGTCGGTTTGACACAGGAGGTTGCGAGGCTCACTCCGTTCAAGGCCACCAGGTCCTCCAAGCGTGGACGCTAGGTTACTGCTGTTATTCACTCCTCAGTGCACAGCTCCAATGTCAACAGCTCTCTCTTTCCGTCGTCGGCTCGATCTCTCTTCTCTTCGGCCATGGTGCCTCTGTTTTAAAAGGCTCTGCCACCGATTGGATCAAGCTGCTGTTAGAATTAAGAAACAAATAGTCGTTAAATAGTTATTTAAGCATTTAGTCATGGCGGTATCCAAATCGTTGCTCCAGACATAACGGATATATTTTTTATAGTAGATTAGTACTCGTGACAACCTTTCGCATAAATGGGTATAAAACTGGTATAAGTGTGATAGAGTAGGTTGCGGTAGTAATCCTACGTATCTCCACGATCCTAAAACGGAACGCGTGGAAGGTTTGTCTAGCATGGATCTAGTAGCGTGGAAGTACTCCACGCTGGCTAAATATCTAGAGCGATGTTTCATCATCAACCTAGTATGACTAGAGCGGTCATTGAGAACCCTGTCTCAAATGACTATTCACGAGAGACTCAAGTCATGAGTCGAACTCAAACCCTATCTAGGATCGAGTCGCGAATAAGGCTAAGAGCCGTGTATTGCACAGGTATTACAGTAATAGATACCGTACCAGGTTGTACTGGTACCAGTCACAGTTAAAATAGCCAATTCAGGCATGGAAAATTACTGCCTCCTGGTGTATCGGTACTGGTACCGCTGCCCGTGCCCGTGTTGCGTCCTGCTGTGGCAGAACAAAAACCCAAGGCGATGATGGCCGGGGGGTTCTACTAAAAGAGCAGTTGGATTATCTACGGCAGCCAGGCCCGTTCCAATGTACCAGCATTCAAAGAACAAGTTGGCATAGTTGGCATTCGCTGGCCGCTTGCGGTAGAAGGCACTGAAGTTTCTAGAACGGAGCATCTGCTGCCCTATTTCCGCAGTTAAAAGACGGTGTGCCTGTATTCGTCATATATAGGATCCAATGCGAGATAACTGAGTGCAGCGAGCAAAGCCGAAACTGAGTGTGTTCGGTAGTGTTGCCACTGTCGCCGATGTAACTATACGCTGTCTACAATGGCTGGATTGACAATATCTGGTTGTGCATGTATTCCTCATAAGAAGGATCCAATGGGAGGTAAGCACAGTGGAACCTCCTAAGAAGGAGACAGGAGACGAACGCAAAAAACCCGAATCGAATGATTCGATTCGGTTTTTTTGCCACACTGAACTCTTCGCGCCGCTCCTCTCCATGGAGTGCTTGTAGCCGTGACCTCTCCAGTTGTTTCAATCGGTTCTTCAGCACTGTAATCTTCTTCTTGTCTTTGACAGAAAGTCCCTCAACCTGATCTCCATGTGCAGCCAGCTCAGTCAACAAATGAGGAATGTTGGGCTTGCCGGTTACTTTGCTGAAAGCAATGCGACCTTCCATTGCATGGGTGTTGTGTACACCGGTTCTTGATTGTAACTGGTTCAAAGCGCGGTTGGTTCGCATGGCAGCCAAAGCTTCGTTCTGTAGATCTTCCACCCTCTTCTTCCGAAAGTGATCTTCTTGCATATACTTCTGGATTTCTTCTACAGTTTCGGCGTAAGCAGCTCCCATTTCCTCCTCTATTTCCTGTTGCCGTGTGCAATGGCGATCGACAGCCAACAAAAGCCTCTCTGTTCATGCTGCGTTCTTCATGTCTGCAAGCTTGCCAATAGAGTGAACATCCTTGTCTCTAATGACCGCGTAGGCGCTTCGCAATGGCTCATGTCTGTCAGTCTTCGAAACAAGAGCTGCTTCCTTGACACCAGCTTCCACAAAGTGTGTCTGCGAGGCAAGAGGAAGATAGAGCGAACAGATCTCTTGCTTCAAGAGATAAGGATGTCCATCATGGAAGTCAATAAGCCTATCCATTATCTCTTCTGCCACATCGGTAGCAAGATCAGAGTACTCTGCGTCTGGTTCAACAAATTCCAGTAAGAATGCATGGAAACGTTTCAAGTCGATAGTAGCATCATGCACCTCGCTGTCAAATACAGAAGGTTGGAATGTTGGCTCTTTCTTGAGTATCACTGCGGCCACAATCTCTGCAATAAGATCCTCTGCCATGAGTGCTGCTGGAAGCATCTCTGGTTGTAGCCAATGCTGGAAGTGGTCGCATAAGGAAATTCTAGACTGCTTAAAGAACATCGTTGCCTTGCTCTCTTGCTTGTCTCGATCTTCCACTATTGACAATGTGTCAGTAAATTCCTTGTAGCCATCATAAGACTTCTACTTCACCTCCAGATAGGAAAGATGCTCTGACATCAAAAAGAAGCAAACAAGTGTCTGGTGTGTCTGAAAGCCAATAGTTTCAGATAGATCCGTGCATTCCTGGATCCACTTCATTTGTCGACAGAAGAAGTCATTATGGAAGCAATGGATCAGAGTTACATCAGAAAAAATTACCAGTTCAAGCATGAGCGACTGTAAACCGGAAGCAGTCTTGTTCACCTTTGCCGTCTTGTTGGCATTGATCACTTGTTGAGTAATCACGAAGATAATCAGATAGTGGTTCCACGTAATAAGTGATCCTTGACCGACTGTCCACCATCTAGTAGGTACAGGTGCTTGCATTGAAAGCTTGGCGGACTTGAGCTCCTCTTCATCCGGACAGGAGAAGTTTCGTAGTGACTTGACTGTCTCCCATCGTTCCTTGAAGGTTAGATCGTTCTCTGTTTCCCCTTCGTATGGTTCTTTAAGAGGATACTTGTCCACAAAACGGTATGCCTCCAACACATGTGTTTGCCACACTTCAGGCTCCATTGTCTTCTGTAAATAGTAGACGGCATGAAGGAGCTGCATGGCATTTTGTTTGTCTAGGCCTCCCTCACCAATAGTTTTCTTGACTGGATTGGATAATGCAAGCTGAAGGTTGTGTAATGAACAGGATGATATCAGATAATGGTCGGCACAAAGACCATAGCTCTGCAGGGCGTCTGCGAGACCTTGTAAAACACCACCGCCACCACTATCAGTGGTCTGCCCCGAAAGGATGAGATTTCCCATCTTGGACTTGATGGAATAAAGGATTGCCTTGCCACATTCTTCCGAAGTCCCTTCAGACGCATCAATGTCTAACAAGCTTCGTTTCACTTTCTGTTCCACCAGACACCAGTAACACAAGTACTTGATGAAATGACCTACGCCCTTCTTGTTGCCCTTGTCACAAGCCAGAAAGCACTTCTTGTCTCGTAGTTCCAGTCGAGTATCCAATACATTCTTGGCGGCGTGTTCGAACATGTTCCTCCGTAGCCAACTCTCCGATGGAAAAGCTGTAGATAATCCATTGGGACTAATGGTGGAAATAAGCCCATGTTCAAACAGAAAAGCAACATGAAAGATCGGAAGAGAAACTGCTGCTTGTTTCAATGGAAGAGACGGATTGCCGGCAAGCGTTGTGGCGATTGATGCCGTGAAAAATGTGCTGGCCTTGGTATTGAAACGATAATCAACCATTGCACATCTAAGAAGCACATAATGGGGTAATTCTGAATCTGTATGGGTCATACCTGCTCTTTCGATACCCATTTGGTTCTAGATTGGTATGCTATTGCTTCCAGTTTCAGCTCCAAAGGTCCTCTTTGGTAAGCAAATAGCATGGTGATTGTGTAAGGGCACCCATTCCTATTGAGGATCCCTTAGGTTACCTGACAGTTTTGACCTTTAGTTTGATCACATATACCTTACAGATTGGGTAGCTATTAGATACCTGAATGTACAAGGTCCAACCACAGGTTGGAGCTGGTTGGTAACCTCATTGCTGTTTTGGAAGGGGGGGCATTATTTTTGGATGGTTGAATCCGTGCTGTGGGTGCTGCTAAGCCCTTGGTAGAGATGCCATTCCTTGTTCTGTAAGAGGAGAAGGCTTGATTGGTGAGCTGATAAGCCCTTGATATGGATGTGGCGCTGCTTCTGTTCCGCAAGGTGGACTTGGATTTAGAAGGAGGGCAAGCTGTTTTGGGATGTGTCATTGGAGAGTACTGCTTTTCCACAGTAAGAAAGGATTCAAACAGACTTCACGGGACAGCCTGCCCGGCTGCCCTCTTCTTCGAAAGGAGCCACACCTCCTCACTCAATCGATCAACCACAACAACAACAACAACAACAACAACAACAACAACAACAACAACAACAACAACAACAACAACAACAACAACAACAACAACAACACGACAATGGTGGAGGAGGAGCGGCCGATCGCTACTACTAGCTACTGCTACTACTATTACGGGTAAGTCTATTATCAAGTGTGT